AGAGAGAGAGAGAGAGAGAGAGAGAGAGAGAAAGAGAGAGAGAGAGGAGGGAGGGAGGAAGGGAGATATGGGGCTTACTCAATATTAACAGCCATCTCGCGCTGCACCATTAATTGCACGCTATCCCCCAGCCCGCTGCGCATGCGGCCGAGTTCCTTCTCCATGCGCTCAATCTGCGCGTCGCTCTGGCTCTTCTGCGTATTCGTGATGTCGCGGAGTTTCTCGAGCTCCTCCTCGGCCTGCGCGACGCGGTGCCCGAGGGCCTCGACCTCTGCAACTTTGTCGTCCATGGCCTCTTTGATCTTGTCGAGCAGGTCGTGGTTGTTCATGTCGGCCTCGAGCGCGGCGTTTCGGCGCTCCGCAATCTCCTTGCGCAGCGTGAGGATGTTGCTCTTGACCGTGCCCTTGAGGTCGAGGTTGAGCAGGTGTGCGGGCGAGTATCCCGTGCTGGGGTCCTGGAGCAGGCGGTCTGCGGGCTCTTGACTTGACTGGCCCATCTGGGAGCCGGAGAAGTTTGGCGCATCGGTGATGGTGAGGACGACTTCGTAGTCCTGGCCCTTTGCGTTGACGGCGGTGGATGGGATGACACCTATTTGGTAGCCCAGGTTGTTGTAGCGCTCGATGATTTGCTCGAGCTCGTCGAGTTTCTTCGAGGCGGCGACTTCTTTCTCGGCCACTTTTCTCTTGGACTCTTCGAGGCGTGCCGAGGTGTTTTGTAGCGCGTTGTCCAGGCGGTCCTTTTCCGCGGCCATGCGGTCAATGTCGTTGATGGTCATGCCGCGGCCGTCGATGATGGCCTGGAGCTCGGCCTGCTCCTTCTCTGCTGCTTCGAGCTCGGCCTCGAGCTCCTCAATGCTGTTCCCTAGGAAGTCGCAGCGGTCTGTGTACTTCTGAACCTTGGCCTCCATGCTCGCGTTGTAGCTCTCGAACTTGACCTTGTCTTTGCCAAGGATCTCGTTCTGCTCCTCGTACTTTGCAATCTTGGGGCCGGCCTTGCTGAGCTCGTCGATCTGCTCCTGGAGTAGTTTGTGCTCTGCCTCGAGCATCTTGACCTCATCGGCATGGTGCGCGTTCCTCTGCTCAAACTTGTTCGCCATGTTCTGGATGTGGGGCTGCATATGGCGGGCTTGTGACTCCTCGTCGTCCTCTCCGTCTTCCTCGTCGTCGGCTGCTAGCCATGTGCTGTATGCGTCTGTGAGGAACTCGAAGATGATGCGGTCGCCGGATACGTCGAAGCCAGCTTCGGCACAAGCGTCGTCGTAGCTGCCCGACTCGTATCTCTGGCACAAGACTACGAGCTGCATCATCCAGTGCAGCAGGCCCAGAAACGTCGGCCAGTTGTTCCCACCAACAGCCGCGATTTGTGATTTCGTGATGGACTTCTGGAAGGGATAGCGGAGCTGCTGGAGGAGTGCCGGGACCTCCTGATCGATCGACTTCAAGAATCTGTAGCTGGGGTCGATCTTGTTGTACAGCCACTGGAACATGTTGTTGAAGTCCTTTTGCGTGGGCGAGGACATGGCCTTGGCCGACAAGACGTGCTTCGACTCCATCTCGAAGTTGTTGTTTGTGAGGAACTGATGCAGTTCGGCCGCCACAGCCTGTCGCGTGCTGGCGTTCTTCAGGTTTCGAGGGTCGGCAGGAAGCGTGGCTGGCATGGGCGCCTGCTGGAAGAAGGACTGCTTGACCCCAGAGCTTCCGCCCGCGTACGAGGCGCGCGCCTTGAAGACGCTGCTGCGGCGCTGTGCGCTCTCCCCAAAATCTGGCCCAGCCGGCGGTGCTGGTGTCTGGAAGAGAGGGGCGCCCGGCGCAAAGCTCTTTCGCCCGCTGCTGGCGCCGCCAAACGCACCCATCGACTGGCGCTGGACCGACGGAAAGCCCTCGGCGAGGTTCGTGCCGGACGACGAGCGCGCAAAAAGCGGCTGGCTCGGTCGCCCCGGCGCGAGCGACATGCGCCCTCCTGACTGCGAGCGCGCGGGGTTGTTGCCGCCGGCAAACTGCGAGCCCTGCATCTGGTGGACAGAGCTTGAGCGCTTCATCGCGGACGAGGGCATTGGGATCGCGGAATTGACGTTGTTGTTCATGGGGCCTAATGTCTGCGCGCAGTATCAGTAGCAGTCGGCGGTGGGGCTTCGGCCCAAACACAACAAACCCACCTGGCGCGGTCGCTGGACCGAGAACATGCCCTGGTCGTGGGCCATGGCAGAGCGAGGACGGTCGCAATGGTGCTGCGACAGGTCTGCCGGCGACTGGATGTGTAGTCGGAAAGCGCGCAAGCCGATTATGTACCGTGGTGGTGTGGCAGGGCTGCTGCAGGCGCCGTATTGACTGTGTTTGTTGACATGGCAGCCGTCTTGTTGTTAGCTGTTAGCGTGGGCGTTGCTGGCCAGCGCGTGCAACCCCTCGTTTGATTGGACCAGCGCCACGCGGTCGTGACGTGTGTCTGCCGCAGAAAACGTCGACCCCCAAGACGACGCAGCACGGTGGTAAAGACATAAGGAATGGTATTTGCAGAGTCTAGCGGCAACGGCCCTCGCGATAACATACAACCCCGAAGCGAACGCTCAAACACAGCCAAGCGCACACACAAGCACCGCTGTCGACAAAGTAATTCCAGCGTCCAAGATCCAATATCAATCCCCAAACCGTGCCAGCCCTCCTGCCGTCGTGCGTCGACCCGGGGTATCGTGTGCTATGCAACAAGCAAGAACAGAGAACGTAATATACTATCCACAATCAATCTCATAAACTCCAGGTCATGTTCCAGAATCGACTATCGTCATGAAGCTCCAATCCATTACACGCACCGCGCATGTATGCGATGCCACCTTGTTTTTGCTGGTGTTCTATTTGATGTTCTTGAACATGTCGTCCGCATCGAAGCTCAGCGTCTTCTCGTTCACCCCAAACGAGTTGAGCTGGGGCAGCGCTGGGGGAGGCGGTCCTCTCTTCACGGGCGGCGTCTGCACCTGCACGGCCGGCACTCTCGACACAGTGGCCGAAGCACCCATTGCGCCGTTCGGAGCTGGCCTCGACAGAGGCACTGCTGCTGATGTGTTCCTGGTCTCCTCTGGCACGCTCCCAAAGTACGAGCTCTTCCTTTTGCTGCCGAACCAGCTACTGCTCTTTTTCCTCGAGAGACTGGGCTGCCCGCTTATGGTAGCAGGCGACCCGGGCCTCTCCTCCGGCTGCAGACTGTCCCTTGATGTGCGGATACCCAAGAACTGTCGCACCGAAGACGGCCGGCGGTTCTGTGAGCCAGGGCTTGTAGGCGACAGACCGCCATCTGCTGCGTCGCTCGTCCGTCCACGGGTCACTGGAGGCTCTGGTGCTACCGAGTCCTCAGATACCTTCCCATTGGGCAAGCCGACTTGTGTTGGTGGAAAGCCGGGTGACTTGGGCGTGGGATGCGATGAGAGAGGTCCCTTGCCCGGTGTGGGAGGGCGAGGCGTCTCGGGCGGCGAGTCGAGCGGTGCGGGAATCGAAGTGCCCTCTGTGAGCGAAAAGTTAATGGGCGCAAGCGTCAATGGCTTGAATTTGGCAGGCATCGCGGCGGTGAGCGGTGGGGTTCTGCTCTCCTCGATAATGCGGATGAATTGCGACTGGATCGAAGCAGCTGCGCGGCGAGAGCGCCACAAAGGGTCAGCGAACGTTGCAGGGCCGCAGACGGGCGTGAGCTCAGGGAGGGCCGGGGCGGAGGAGAGAGACAGGGTTGATGCACGGTGCGAGAACCGTGGTTTGCGCAACACGGGATACAGCGAGGCGTCGGCCAACAGCAGCCCACCTTATACGAGCCGTGTGATTGTGCCGCCTTGGAAAAATATCCCGCAATTGGCACAAAACGACTACGACAGAAGTGACCACGCACAACGGGGCGGCGTGGGAAACGTTGCGAAGGGCCGTGGACAGGCACGAGGCAACTCCAATGCCGGATGCGGAAGTTGCGGCCCATGCCGAGTCAGGTACAGACGGATTGGGGCATGTGCAAACTCCACAAACACGACGCAGGTGTGGCAGGGTCTCGTCAAGACGAACTAGATTCGGTGGATATCTTGTGCACATAAATAGGATACGGTGCTGAGTCTGCCAAACACATGCACTGCCACCCCCGCTCCATCCTTCACAAGAACACCTGCGGACAGCATCATCGTGTCTTGCGCTGGTGCGTCTCGTCCAGTTCAGCGATCTCGTCCAGCAGCTGGCACGTCTCTGTCGGGTTCGCAATCCACGCCGTTGTGCATGCCAGACGCGCCTTGAAGTCATTTGCGCCGGCACTCAGGAACTGGTCTCCAACGTGCAGCGTCTTCGATCCCTCAATCGACCCAAAGATCCTTTGGCACGCCAGAACGCCCCAGCTCTTGTCTCCAATGTCCACGAACACATCATTACCACCTAGTTCGTGCGTCAGTGTATGATCGATGAGACAGTGTGAGCCACAAACCGTTAAAGGCGCAAAATGGCAGTCGCTGTCCAACCTCAGATATGTCCTAGGCGCGTCAGCAGATTTTTTGTATTAGCAGCGACTCGAAACCTACCAAGACTTTCTGCACAATCAACACGGTCTCTTCTAAGGTCTCTCGACAGAACCGCTCGCCGTTCTTCGGTATGACGCCCACGGCTCGCTCTTTCCTGACAATGTCGGCATTCATCCTCATGTTCTTCACTGTATCTCTCAGTGATGCTTCTGCAATGTCAAGGAGCTCTGCAACGTCGGCGTCCGACCACAACAGCATCTCCTTGAGCACCCACTCCTCGCGTGGAACAAATCTCAACAGATCGGCGCTGTTTTCGTCAAACTTGAAGCAGAAGCTGCTCTCGCCACCCATGATCATGAACCCTTGCTTTGACTCGAGCGGCAAGTCGGACTCTTGGATGGCGTGCAACAGCCCGAAAAGACGCCCGTAGTATCGGCTGGCTTCTGTGTAGCCTGCCGCCGTGACGATGCCAATCTTGGACCCTCGCCGCATGAGATGCAGGATTTTGGGGATGATTGGGTTCTCAGGCAGCAAGTTCATCCCATCATCGTACAAGGTGACATCTCCGTCGAAGGTCATAAGCTCAATAGGACCCGTGCGGACGAGGCTCATGATCTGAGCTGTGTTCAAGACAAGGCGTACATCGTTGAAGGAAGGTGGCACAAAGCGCCGGTAGCTGATTGAGCGCCGCTGATCTTGGAATATGAATGCATCGTGAAGAGCTAGCGGCGTGAAAAAATTCGCGACGGTTGGGACCAAGAGCTTGAGCTTTGATCGGTCTGGCTTCCCCAATTTCTGGTGTTCAACTACGAAGTCGGTCAACGCCAATCTTCTCAAAGTGCTCCAAAGATTGACGAGACTGATGAGGTAAGCTAGACTCACTGTGATCGTTGATTATGTCTTCCACATCACGCATGATCTCGGCATATCGACGTTGGGCCACGCTGGCCTGCGGATGGACGGTCTGTGCGTTCTCCTCGAAAACGGCTGTCGGTTGAGAGTGGAGGACAAATGGAACTGCCAGCAGACCCTTGCAAAGAGTCAGCATTCCCATGGCATGGCTGCTGTTTGTCGAGAGATAGTACCTTGATCCATTCAATCTGTGAGAGTAAGCTACTGGAGTCACATCACTTGGATTCGTGCGTACGCACCAATTGATCTCGCCTGTGAGTCTTGGAGTCAAGTCAGAAGTGTTGTCAAGGTGTCAGTGGAGCGGCGGACCTTGAGAGCATCTGTATGTCAACTACGTTAGTGTACCGTCGTTGAAGCTCAGCTTGAAGATGTGAGCGAGGGAGCATGGCAGCTCTAGGGAACGACATACATTCCACGCGGTATCTGGTAGTCATGATGAAGCAGCAGTGGGTGGGAGAACGTTCAGGTGAGAAGAGCGTTGGGCTGTCAATGTGTCCAAGACTCCGACCACAAGCCTGTCGGAGATGGCCGCTAGCGGGGAGGGCAGTCGCACGTGTAACCTGGTACGGTGTGGAAGGAACAATACACTTGGGAACTTAGGTAACCTTCTCCAACTGATGCAGATATACAAGGACCGATGTGCAAACAACTCAAGAGCCAGCCATTGCACATACCCAGATTGGTACAGCGACAATGAGGTGCAGGTGTAGCTTTATCGATAAGAGACGCGACAAGCGGGCGCTACTGATGTGAGCCTCAACCTCTGTGCAAGGGTCCACCTCTATCAAAGCACCGGTCAACAACGTCGCTTTAAAGCAACCGGGTCGCTGGACGGTTCGCATCATGCCTGGACTTGACTCGCTGAAGGACGTGGCATTGCGCCCATGGCCGACGGACAAGGACGACGAATCCAGCAGAGATGTAGTACTACAGAAAATCGAGCAGCTCGCAGCGGAGCGTGGCCATTTGCGCAATATAACAGAGCAGTCGCTACAGGCTGAAATTGACGCCGGGAAAGATGCGCTTGACGACGCGAAAGACAGCTCAGAAGGCGGCGACGAGGAGAAGAAGCCCCTGACGTTCGAGGAGAGGAGGGACGAGATAATCAAGATGCAGTGGGAGATGTCTACTCACCTGGAGTGCGTCTGGGCATAGTCTATCGGCATGTCTTATTTTACTGACATCATGAAGGTTCGCCAGGTTTTCCGCTGCCAATGCGCTCGATCTCATCTCCCTGGTCCTGTCTGCCGACCCGAACAAACGCGCGCCCTCGTCCTTCAGTCAAACATTCCGTACAGAGGGTCTCGACAAAGGGCTTCCTTTCGGGTCTATGGGTCTCGCTAGGGAGGACCATAAATTCGACGTTGTGCGAGCACCTGAGCAGCAGAGAAGAGACGAGCAGCAAAAGAGGCAGGATCTTGTGGCTAAAGCTGCTAGGCTGGAAGCGCTCGATGCTGCGACCGATGAGATTCTGAAGGCGGCGAAGAACTTGGAGAAGGAGGTGCGCAAAGAGACAAAGTATTGGCAGGAGATTGTGTCCATCTCAGACAAGGGTTGGCCCATACACCGAACGCGTTCAGACAAGCTCCCTGCGCCTTTTGCTGTACGCTATGGGTTTCCAGAAGGTACGTGGCTGGCAAGAAGTATCAAAATGTAAGTGCTAACATATTTGCAGCCAGCCCTCACTTCAAAGCCCGTGGCTCCGCGCCGTTGCGAATGGACAACGACGGCGGCATCGTACTCGATCCGAATCTTGCTTTGAAACCGAAAACACTGCGCATAAGAGTCATCGAGGGCGGAGAAATCACCGGATCGTCACAGCGTCCAGTAGAAACCACAGGGGAAGGACTCGCCGTCGAGAAGTCCATTCGGCTGGCAAGAGATTCGCTGCTGGAAGAAGAATTGTTTCACGAGATGGGCTTAGAGACACGGCAGCTACTCCCCTACGGCGTTCGATTACGAGATTCTGTCATCACTGTAGACGCGCCGGGAACGGACACTTCAGTGCGGCAGCTCCTCATCGACTGCATACCTCGCGAAGACAAGATCCCAGAGAGAAAGGACCACACCTACGATTGGCTCGCGCAAGCGACTGCCGAAGCTTTGAGACTCTTGTTGACCCATGAGCATAGCATGCGATTGTACCGTCGTACTCAGCTTCCGCCTCCGTTGACGTCACGGCAACCAGAGAAAAAGTCGCCTCCGCTTTTGCGTACTCTGCTCGCGATGCTTCACCACCTGCATAATGTGGACTCATTGTTCAGCTATCTGAGCACAGTATCGAACACGCTGAGCAGCGCTGGTCTTGAGGCACCGTTAGAGACGAGTCGCGAGGAGTCATTTGTCAGACTGCGTGACAGTCTTGGAAAGTCTATCAACAAGGATCTCTCCGCGACGGATCAGCTCTTGGACATGTTCACGAAACCGCTCACAGGCATAGCCACCTTGACTCTGCCATCAGGTGCGGGCTCGCAAACCGAACAGCTCTTAATCGCGATACGCACCGTCATCGGCGCACCTACATTCGGCACCGAATACAAGCTCACGCTTCCATCGTCGCTCGCGACAGACCTGGGCCTCTCAACGGAGAACAGGTTCCAGACTACGGCGGACATCGTGTCATATCTTGACTGGGTCCTGTCGCTGCACGTAGCGCACCGAGTTCTCAGAAACGAATACACCGATCGGGCAGCTGTCAGAAGTAATGAGGCCAGGGTCACGATTGCCAGCAAGAGCAGCAAAAAGGGGCCCCCTGCAAAACATAATATCACGGTCGAGCTGAGAGAAGGCCTGCTGGCATTGCATCTAAGTAATCCTCAGGAGCCTTCACAGGAATCGCACTCTTGGACTGGTAAGGGCGACGTAGTGCCGCTCAAAGAAAAGGTCCAGAGCTGGGTTGGATGAGCGATGTACCGAATACTATCCTGACCTGGCGATTCCCAGGTCTTCCGTCCTCACACTGGTCGTGGCCGTACTCGCATATGCATGGCTTGCTTTGTGGACCACGTGATGTCTTCCCCTGTTGCGATATGGCAGTCAGTCTTTCAAGCTGTGGAAAAAATCGGATACAAGCCTTCAACACGGGAGGTCTTTAGCGACTGTAAGTTGACAAGGCTTATGGAGAACACGAGAGACAGTACACAGCCAAGAGCACCCCGAATCAAGTGACGACACATCAGCTGAGATTATCGCGACTGCCTTGAATCAACCCATCGAATTGCTTGGTCAAGGTGTCTTGAGGCGCCACTCGTACATGCGAGGATCAAACATGGCTAATCGGCGAGTTGGTGGTTCAGTCCAACCTCGACAAACGAGCACGATGCGCTCTTGGTACCTGATGCTCGCGGCACACTTTCTCGGACCGGATGCGGCCACCCATGGGCTTCATGACTAGCCTGCACGTGTTGTGGGTAGTGCAGCCTGCAACCGTCCAGTCTGCAGTAGAAGTATCGCTAAACTTCAAAGTAGAATGCAGCTACTACAAAAATAACATATTGGGCTTTAATGATGAGTTGTCAACGCACTTGAGCATGCTGTTCATCTCGATTCAACCGCCATGGTGTTGAACTTGATGAGGCTGAAAACACTGAAGAGCCGGCGCGGGTGGAGTCGCCGGTGCCCCCACTTCGAGCTCGCGGTTTTGAGCAACCCACGTCATGCCGCAGCTCGCAGCCACTGAGCAGCAACGCAGATGGGCGCGCGCAACCTTATCATGGGGTCACTGAAGATATATAGTAATTGATTGGACATGTCTGCAATCAAGTTGCTTTGTTTTCCTCAGCTACATCCTGCCACCAACCTTATTTCCTGCTTGTGAAGCTACCCCTCCTGAAGCTCTCTAGACCTCAACACATCCACGAGGACCCGCTTCGGCCTCTCACTTTTCCTGGACACGGCACCTTGACCTCATACCTGACCCACAGTGAAACACCCAGCGTCTACATCATTCCTGTCTCCTCACATTGAGGCTTCACTCGCGACCCACGACCTACGACCTCGCACAACCACCATACACGCACACATGGCACCTGCAAACGTGCCAGCACCCCTCGAGGGTAAGAAGAGGCGAATCGGTGTCATGACCAGCGGAGGAGACGCGCCCGGCATGAACGGAGCAGTGCGAGCTGTCGTCCGCATGGCCATCCACAACGACTGCGAGGCCTTCGCCATCTACGAGGGCTACGATGGGCTCGTCAAGGGCGGCGACATGATCAGGGAGATGCACTGGGAGGACGTGCGAGGCTTCCTCTCCGAGGGCGGCACCCTCATTGGCACAGCGCGCTGCATGGAGTTTATGCAGCGAGACGGCCGCCGGACAGCCGCAAAGAACATGATCATCAAGGGCATCGACGCCCTGATCATCTGCGGCGGTGACGGCTCGCTGACTGGTGCCGACAAGTTCCGCGCCGAGTGGCCCAGCCTGCTGGAGGAGCTTCTCGAGCGCAAAGAGCTCACCAAGGAGCAGGTCGACCCGTTCAGACACCTCAACATCGTCGGTCTCGTCGGCTCCATTGACAACGATCTCTCCATGACCGATGCCACCATCGGTTGCTACACGTCTCTTGCCCGTATCTGCGAGGCCATCGACTCGGTCGACACCACGGCCGTCAGTCACCAGCGTGCGTTCGTTATCGAGGTCATGGGCCGGCACTGCGGCTGGCTCGCTCTTAGTGCTGGTGTGGCCACTGGCGCCGACTTTGTCTTCACGCCTGAGAACCCACCGTACCCCGGCTGGGAGAAGGAGATGCTGAAGCAGGTCAAGAAGCAGAGGGCCATGGGCAAGCGCAAGACCATCGTTGTTGTTGCCGAAGGTGCCATCGACCGCGAGCTGAAGAAGATCACCTGTGAGCAGGTCAAGGATGTCCTTGCGAAGGATGGCGGGCTCGACACGAGAATCACCACACTCGGTCACGTTCAGCGTGGAGGCACGCCCTCTGCCTACGACCGCATGCTCGCCACCCTGCAGGGTGCTGAGGCTGTCAAGGCCGTCCTGGAGGCCACACCTGAGACTCCCAGCCCTGTCATCTGTATCCAGGAGAACAAGATCGTCCGCCGGTCACTCCTGGAAGCGGTTGCGCAGACCAAGGAAGTTGCCGTTGCCATTGAGAACAAGGATTTCGAGCGTGCTATGCAGCTCCGCGATACCGAGTTTGCCGAGCAGTACAAGTCCTACCACATCACCACCGCAGCCAACTTGCCCGAGCTTCGCCTGCCCGAGGAGAAGCGCATGCGTGTCGGCATCATCCACGTTGGCGCACCAGCTGGTGGCATGAACGCTGCCACTCGTGCTGCAGTAGCATACTGCATTGCTCGTGGCCACACACCCGTTGCGCTCCACAATGGGTTCCCTGGTATCATCCGCCACCACTCGGACGAGCCTGTTGGTGCTGTCCGTGACATCAAGTGGGTGGATGCCGAGACGTGGGCCTCGAAGGGTGGCTCTGAGATCGGAACCAACCGTGGACTGCCCAGCGAGGACCTCGAGACGACGGCCTTTGTCTTCAAGAAGTACAACATCCAGTCGTTGTTCGTTGTCGGTGGGTTTGAGGCCTTTACAGCTGTCTCCGAGCTGCGCAAGGCTCGCGAGCATTACAAGGCGTTCAAGATTCCCATCGTAAGCGCTTCTCGCGATGCACTTCAATGTGTCAAACTAACAGCTACAGGTCATCGTTCCCGCCACCATCTCTAACAACGTCCCTGGAACCGAGTACTCGATCGGCTCGGACACGTGTCTGAACGCGCTCATCCAGTACGCCGATGCCTGCCGTCAATCCGCGTCTGCGTCACGTCGCCGTGTCTTCGTAATCGAGACCCAGGGTGGTGAATCTGGGTACATTGCTACCGTCGCGGGACTCTCCATCGGCGCGCTCGCCGTGTACACACCCGAGGACGGCATCAACCTCAAGATGCTGGACCGCGACATCGACCACCTGGCGGCCGTGTTCAGAAAGGACAAGGGCATCTCGCGGTCCGGAAAGGTGATCCTCGTCAACGAGAAGGCCAGCAAGACGTACTCTGTGCAGACGATTGCGCAGATGATCGCAGAGGCCGGCAAGGGCAAGTTCGAGTCCCGCCACGGCGTGCCGGGTCACTTCCAGCAGGGCACGACGCCGTCGCCGATGGACCGCGTGCGCGCCGTCCGGTTCGCGACCAAGGCCATGCAGCACCTCGAGGAGTTCATCGGGCAGGACGCCGACGAGATCGACGAAGATCCCATGAGCGTCAGCGTCGTCGGCATCAAGGGCAGCAAGCTGCTGTTTTCTCCCATGGAGCAGGTCGAGAAGAAGGAGACGGAGTGGCACCGCAGACGCCCCAAGCACGAGTTCTGGATGGCCCTCAAGGAGACGGTCGATACGCTATCTGGGCGGCCCCAAGCGCCCAAGAACCCTACGCCTATTGATACCCTGGCTGGCAGGCCGAGCAGCAGCGGTTGAGCGTTGTGGTTGGATTGTTAGAAGCGTATGCACTTGTGATAGTATGTGTTGAATGACATGCATTTCTATATCTATCCTCTATCCTCGCCATATTCGCACCCACACGCGCCCTACAAATCCGTCCTGTACCCCCTCAAGCTCTCATCATCCCAGCTCAGAAACTTGCCGCTCAACGCCCTCTCTCCCCTCAGCGCCAGATTCGCAATCACACCACCAGGCTGCTCAGGCCGCACTAGCTTCCCCTCGCTATGCAAGCCGTGGAACTTGGCCTGGTCGCTCGCACTCATGGCATTCTTATGCTCCTCGCGAATCGCGCGCTGCATCTCCGTATCCACAACACCCGGCCTTACACTCACACTAACAACATCAGCCTCCTCGACGCCCAGGCTGGCAACAACGTGGTTCAGCACTGCCTTCCCCGAGCCGTACGCAGCCCAGCCCTGGTACGCACCCGTCGCAGCACCACTACTCGTCACCACGACACGACCCCGCGTTTCCCGCAGCGAGGGCAGTGCGGCGCGTATCAGGTCCACAGCGCTGAACACATTCGTCGCGTACGCATCGCGCCACTGCTCGGCCGTGGTGTCGCCCACCTTCGCCACGGGGTCGAGTGAGCCGTGGTTGATGATGATGCTGTCCAGACGCCCAAACCGGGTGTGTGCGGCGCGCACCAGCGACGCGCCAAAGGAAGGCGAGGATGCGTCGCTGGCGAGAATCTCGACGCGGGATGCGCCGTATTTGGTCTGCAGGTCTTGCAGGGCTGAGGCGGTCCGTGCTGTGACGACGACTTTGTGCTGGGCGGGCTGCGAGAGGATGTGGTGTGCTATTGTGAGGCCGATTCCTGGGGGGGAGGGGGTTAGTGGGGCGGGGGGTGCTGTGAGGGCGTGGTTGTTGTGCTGGGGTGGAGGCGTGGATGTTGGCGGCGTCGACTTACCTCGTGAGGCGCCGGTGAGGATGATGACCATCTCTTCCGCTGCACTCATCTTGACTTTTGTGTGTTGCGGGGGAATGCCAATGGGTCAGTGGTTAGATTCTGAGGGGTGAAGCTCGAAGCTCCCCACTATCAGATGCCGCGGCTCACGCACGTCATAGCTCTGACGTCTTGTTGCTGGATGCCAAGAGCGCCAAACATTTCTCCAGACACGACATTGCGCTTTCTGGCATCAATGGCTTCGAGACTGCTCTCTCCTGCGCCGGCGATGGCGCGGACATGCGCGCGGAGCTCTCGCTTCGCTGCACGGCTCGCAATCGCACCGCTCGCACCGCTTGCACAGCGACGCAGCATCTCAGCGTACGGCTACGAGCAGGCCAAAGCCCTCACATTCTCCGAGTATGGCGAGCCGCCGTCTGTCCTCGCGCTCCACGGGCACTCGATCTCGCCGCCCCACGGCGACAGGATGACGCTCCGCTTCCTCGCCTCGCCCATCAATCCGGCCGACATCAACCAGATCCAGGGCGTGTACCCGTCGAAGCCGACCTTCACCACGGACCTGGGCACGCCGCATCCCATCGCCGTCGCGGGCAACGAAGGCGTGGCCGAGGTCACGGCGCTCGGCGACGGGGCGAAGAGCGCGGGCTTCAAAAGGGGCGACTGGGTCTTCATCAAGGCGCCCGGCTTCGGCACGTGGCGCACCCACGCGTCCGCAACAGTCGCCCAGGTCGTCAAGCTCGAGGAGTCGATGCGCGAGGGCATCTCCGCCCTGCAGGCCGGCACCGTAAGCGTCAACCCGTGCACGGCGCACCGCATGCTGCGCGCCTTCACGCCCCTGCAGCCCGGCGAGTGGTTCGTCCAGAACGGGGCCAACTCGGGCGTGGGCCGCGCCGCGATCCAGCTCGGCCGCAAATGGGGCCTGAAGAGCCTGAATGTCGTCCGCGGGCGGGACTCGGACGCCGCAGACGCAAAGCTGAAAGCCGACCTGACCGCGCTGGGCGCAGACGTCGTCCTGACCGACGCGGAGCTGCAGGCACCGGGCCTCCGCGACCGGGTCAAGGAGTGGACAAACGGCGGCGGCGAGCGCATCGGACTGGCGCTGAACTGCGTCAACGGTAAGCCTGCGGTCGCCATGGCGAAGCTGCTCTCGCCGTCTGCGCACTTTGTCACTTACGGCGCCATGTCCAAGCAGCCGCTGACCATACCCGCGTCGATGCTGATCTTCAAGGATATCCATTTCCACGGCTTCTGGGTCAGTCGGTGGGCCGAGCAGAATCCCGCCGAGAAGCTGGAGGCTGTGGCTGAGGTGCTGGAATTGACGCGCAGCGGCGAGTTCAAGGATACGCCGTTTGATCAGATCACGTGGAGCCATGACACAGGGGGGGACGAGCTGATTGCCAAGGTCAAGGGGACGCTGGAGGGGTATCGCGAGGGGAAGGGTGTGTTTGTGTTTGGCGAGACGTGATCTCAGCAGGTGTGTGTGCATGTATTCACTCGTGTCGAGTATGCGCCGTTCATTACTTCCATCACCGTCGTCAAACCCGGGTATACGCAACGAAAAAAGAGTAATTTAAACCAACACACACAGCCAGTCCCGCTACTTGTCCTCCCGCTACTTCTCCTCCCGCGCCGTGCCAGGCTCAGGCAGCTGCGAGACGTCAGGTAAATCAGCCACCGTCGCCTTGTCCTCCTCCTTGTGGTCCGCGATGATCGTCGGCGCTGCGGGCTCGCCTGCTACCCTGGGCACGGGTTCGGATGAGGCTTTGGTCTTCTGTCTCTTGTGGTCGCCGAACACCGAGTCGTCGTCGCTGGCGACTGCGCTCGAGGACCCGGACGTCTCGGTCTCGGCCGCGCGCCGTTGCTGCTCCAGACGCACTTCGCGGCCGCGCTTGTGGCAGTACCAGAACACGAAGAGGAGGACTGCAGGGGGTCAGCTGCTGTCTCGATGATGGACGATCGGGGGTACACATACTCATCACTGCCAGGCTCATGATCAGGTTTGTTCCCGTGGCCAGCGCGGGGAATCTGAATTTCAAAAAGTTCACGATGCTCCTCAGCGCTGTTGCGACCGCACCCTGCGCCGAGACTAGTTGTTTGAGACTGGGGATCTTGGGCACGCCTGGGATTCTGCTCTTCTTGCTCTTGCTGCCCTCGCCACCGGCTTTCTGCTTGCCGTCGAATCCCGGCTTCTCTGCGCTCGCGGCGAGCAGCTCGGGACCCAGCGCGGCCGTCATCTTGGCGGGCAGGCTCTTGACAAAGTTCTGCAGGAAGGGGGGGAGGCCGCCGTACATTTTCTTCAGCTGCGTGTCGTAGTCGGTGAAGAGCTTCTCGAGGTCGTCGTACGCGTGGGGCGCGCCGTTGACGACGTCTTTGAGGACGAGAGTGAACTTTTGCAGGAGCTCTTCCGACTCTTTGCTGAAGGAAAACACGCGGTTGTTGACGGCCGACATGTTCAGCTCTTCGAGGATCTTGCTGAGGTCCTGCGTTTCCTTGTCCACCTCTGCTTCCTCTGCCGACTTTGTCTTTTCCGCGGCTGCGAGGAGGTTGTCGGCGAGCTCGTTACGCTCGGCCTCTGTGACCTTTGCTTTGCCCTTCTTGTCCTTCGTTGCAGTGTCCGTCGCGCTCTCAGGCTTGTCGGCCTTCTTGCCGAACTTTGGGACGGAAAAGTTGCTGAAGTATGATGCGAATGCCTTCTTCTCTGGTGGGCTCTTTGGAAGCGCAATCTTGTCAGCGCCATCCATCAAAGCCGCCTGTGCGTCTTTGCCAACCTTTTGCTGTCCACTGTCGTCTATGACTACGGCGGGACGGCCAGGAAGCGGTGGCGGAGTGCCCTCAGGCTCGGATGCGATTGCTGCAAGTCTTTCAAGGAACTTCTCGTCTTCCTCGTCTAGAACAGGCTCGGCGCCAGTCTCGTCAGCCGGTTCGCTGATCGCCGGCGCAGGCGGCGGTGAAGGGACCGGCCCTGTGGGCTTGGCTGCCCCCTCTGTGCCTGGCGCATTATATACGACGGTGTCTCTGAAGTTGGCGGGATCATTCTGCTTCGCCTTTGGTCGCAGTTTTTGCAGGTAGGAGGCCATATTAGTAATGTCTGTGCCTTGCAGCTGTTTGCGGGGCTTGATGCAAGTAGGTATCGACTGGGGAAATGTACGGATTTGTCCAGGACTGACGTCTATTAAAGATCTGGACAGCAGCTCAGCCACCCTGCAGGCGATCTTCTTCACACGGCGATCGACACGCGGTAAGCATGTCGTGTGGCCCTGTTGCGAGTCTGGTCGCGCGCCCAAGAACGCCTACGTCATTGGCAGGGGTCCTTAGCTCCAGTGTTGGCGCGCGCATGTGAAGCAACGACAGTCCAACGCCACTGCACTACACGCGCAGCCTCGACTTCGTAACAAACGCCAAATGTAGCTAACTGCGGTATTGGTCGATTGGCCAATGGGTCTCTACTGTCATTTGACTACTTTGCATCCTCACGTCTTCTCACTGCGCTTCACTATGACCCCTCTATTGTAAGCGCAAGAGATGGATTCTGCGAGGTCTGTTGGTTTCGTCCAGATCTCAGCTTCGCATGAATTACATGATGCCGGCAAAACCGGTGTTTCTGGCGTTGCAGGCGGCCTTAAGATCCGACTTTGACACTGGGGATGATCGATTGAATCAATCCCCTGCGTCGCTTTAGAAGCGGGAAGGCAAGCAAGATGGTAATCCTAGCCGTGTTCTATTTGCAACAGATTGCTTCCCAAGATCTGACTCTGACCCCGAGATAACCAACTCGAGCTGCTGACTTCTCCGATACTGCAATTCTCACTTGTGTCCTTCACTTGTCATCATTCGCTGATCTGTACCTACCTTCTGGGCTTGTGGGCTATCGCAGCCAGACCCAGAGGCAGCAATATAGATTCGGCAGCAGCGTTTGTTTCTGCCAGCGTTCTGAAGAATCCAGCGCTCTCTCACCTGCACCTTTCGCGTTTGTTGGCTCACTCGACAGTATTTCACATACTCGGCAAGTGGCTTTATAGCCCCCAATTCACAACGTGAACAGCTCCACACCATCTACACACTTTTTTGAACAACTCAACTGCCTAGAATTTGCCGTAGACATGGCCGACTCTGGTCTTACCTTCGACAGTAAGTCTTCTTGTGTTGGCCCCAAACAACCATGGCATTGACGTAGATTACAGATGCCGAGCCCATTGATGACATGGACTTCAACGATGCTCTTCAAACAGCTTCCAACGACGATCCCGACGACGACGTCTACGGCTCTAGCTTGTTGGCAGCGCACCATGTGAGCAGGCCATTTCCCATCCTGAGAGCATTCACTGACGAACAACAGGACCAATTCAGGCTTGATAGCTCCGATAACGATGAATTTGAAGTTGATGAGGACGATGATGACGAGACTGGCGACTACTACGACACCGCTGTTGGGAAGAAGCGCAAGCGTGTCCGCTTCGAGGCTCCTGACACCGATCAGAACCACTCCAAGTTGACCGGCGTGCGTATCAAGGCTGAAGGTAGCGAGTCCTTCCTTCTCGACGAAGACACCAATCCGCTGGCTCACCACACAAGCTCTCGAGTATTCGGCACGTTCGGCCGCCGTAAGTTCACGCCTCTGAAGCTTCTCACAGTATTTTGACTACCTGTAGGCGGTCGGGAGAAGGGGGAAAGCCTCCCAGCTTATCACAAGCGCGTGTCCGCTACCCTTGACTCTGACGATGAGCTCATGCTCGACATGCGCGAAAAGGGCTTCAGTGATCGCCAGATATCCGAGAAGCTCGCAAAGGATGGCCGCGTTCGCTACGACCAGAAGTCCATCTCTACCCGCATCATGCGCATTCGCCTAGCTCAGGCTGAGAACTTCGATTTCCTCCTGCGAGAAGGCTACAAAGAGTGGGGGTTTGAGGATGTGAGTCCATCACAATCCTGCTGCCGAACCAGCCACTGACTGCCTCAAGGACCAACATCTTGCTCAAGCCTACGCCCTGGCCGACATCGAGATCAGCTACGAGATTGAGCGCATCCGCGCCTGGCGATTCCGCAAAGTCTCCGAGTACATGCGCCGCCTCGATACAGACTCCCATTTCAGCGCCAACGCCTGTCGTGTTCGCTATGGTCAGCTCATATCCGGCACTGCGCGCATCCCATGCGAGGTAGATGACGATCCAGACACCCGCCGCGAAGAGCTCGAAGTCTTCCGCCTATCACGCGCAGTAGAGCGAGAGAAGGAGATCGCCGAGAAGGAAACCCGCGAATCCCTAGAGAAGCGCGTAAAGGACGCAGTCAAGATCAAGAATGCTCAGAAGGCTGAGGAGATTGCCAACCGGCGTGCAGCGAAAGAGCAGGAGAAGGCCGACCGAGCATTGCAGCGCGCCGCCCAGGCACAGCTTCGCATGCAAAAGGCGACTGAGAACCAGAAGGCTAAGACTGAGCGTAATGCGCAGATCAAGAAGGCCGCTGCGACATCTAAGAAGCGTGGAAAGAGGGCAAAGATCGATGCAGACATAGATGCTCCGGCGAAAGCAACAGCATCCAAAGCCAAGTCCTCGAAGGTTCCGAAGGATGAGTCTGAGACCGCTGATCCGCGCTCTTACCTCGACATGACCGACCTCACTAAGCTTTGCGCCAAACGTGGTCTTCCCACCGACAGGACCAAGAAGGAACTCGTCTCTTCCCTCGTCGACGCCGATATGGAGTGGAACCACGAGCAGCTCAAGAAGATGTGTAAGGCCAAGGGTCTCAATATGGGTGGCACTAAGACTGTCATGTTTTACCAGCTTGCTCTCAGGGCGGCACAGAGCTACCCCAGCTTCGAGGCAGGCATGCGAGTGGCAGAAGAGGACAAGGATCAGGGTGGTGACGAGATGATTGTAGACGCCGAGTAGGGCCGTGTGTCTACTTGGACGTCGATCAATTGACTTGTAGGCGGTTTGAAAGCGTGTGGGATGGTCAGTGGTGGGCCATGGGGCTTTGAAGCCGTCGGGGTGGAGTCAAATGAGAGTTCGCGCACGTGCAAGGACATATTGATGGCAGGCATATGTATCGGAGACTCTTTCGACATGGCAGGAAGATACGAGTTGCTTTTTTCTAGTGCAAAGAATGTCAGTTTTCAAGATTGTATTCTTCAACACGAAATATGAGGTGCCATGTCGGTGTCTTGAATTGTCTAGAAGACTCCTAGACGATCTACGTTCTGTTCACTCCGTTTCACCTCTTGTTCAACGCGCGGCGGGGGTTGAAACGCAACAGCTTCAACATCTGAGGATATACTGACTGCCTCCAGGATCTCATATAGCATGACGGCTTTCTCAATACCCACGTATTCGTTCCGGAGGAAGTCAAGACTCAGTCTCCAGCACACTCCGGAACGAAAAGTTCAAAATGCCCATCGCTCCGCTACAGAAGACAGCTCCACCCTTCTCCCGGACACGAATCTTACCCACCCTCACCCTCGTTGCCGTCGCCTTCCTTGCCTTCGCCTATCCCCCGTTGCCGCCCCGCGCTCTCACAACGTCTGCTAGTCTCGCCCACAGAACAACTTTCAAAGCCGGACTCTTGAGAATATGCGATCATGCTTCTCGACCCGATGCTTCCAGATGATACTGGGTTGTCGGTTTAGCCGCGAGGTTGCGGAAAGAAGAACGAGACCAGGAGGGCGATGATGGCTCCGTACGCCACACCACACGCGATGTGGACGCACATCGTTTCTTCCCAGCCCATGCCGCGCACGAGCATGTAGTCGTCGAACTGTCCGTGGAACGCATTTACCTGGCATTACGATGATGGCGTCTGCGCTCGGCGAGTAGATCCGCGATAATACACTCAGTCCAGGGGCAGAAAAAGCGGTGGTGCGGAAACACATCGGCGGCGATATATCAGCAGCAAGCATCGACATTGGCCGTTTGAATTGCTATCTTCCGCGGCGTCCAAGGTCAGGTCCGAAAGGCGGTTTGTGCAATCTCCACTCGGACAGCGTGCTGAGAGCGACGCAGGTCAGAACGACGATCACGGCGGTTTGAACACACCGCCATTCGGACTTGCGTTGGTAGACACGATGATCGGGGTCTGGGCTGACAACGCTTGACTTGGTAAACTTGCGCCGGAGCCTGTTGCCCGGAACAGTGCCTCGTCTGAGTTTTGTAGCCAGCCTGTTCCCACTGTGTGTGTCCAACGCTTCCTCGAATTACACCGGGGTGACCCGTCATTACGATAGTGTTCATCAGGACCAGGGTAGTGATATGGACGAGAGTGCCGCTTCCATTTTGTGAAGTGCCAGCGCGTGACCAGTTGGAATAATGGATGCTACCTGCGATCTCTGCTCCTGCTTCGTGACCGTGGGCTGTCGTAGGAATCATAGCTTGGGCTCCTCCTCCCACCGCCACCGCCACCACCGCCGCCGCCTCTTCCTCCTCTTCTAGGCGGCGAGTCTCTCCTACCATAGCTACCTCCGCCGCCTCGTCTGCGCGGTGGTGTCCGTGAGAGTGACCGGCTGTACGATGATCGTGACATGCTTCTGCGCGGACTCCTGCTCCTAGATCTCGAGTAGGAGCGTGGTCTGTATCCAAAGTCGCCGCCGCCGCCGCGACCTCCTCTCCCTCTTCCTCTGCCTCTTCCTCGCCATCCTCCTCGTGGTGAAGGTGATCGTCCGCGACCCCTACCGCCTCCGTAGCCGCCCATCGGCGGAGGCCTGTATGCGCCTGGCGGCCCTCCACCTGCATATCCGTCGTGGTCGTCTGGGAAGCGTGGTGGTGGGCCTCCTCGCCTGGGAGGCGGTGTCTGTGAGAAGCGCCGGCGTGGGAGAACGAGCGAGACCTGGATCTTTGCGCCGTCTAGTTGTGCTTCGTGCATTTTTGCAATTGCGCGCTCGGCGTCGTCGATCTCCTCGTACATGATGTAGGCGGTTCCACGGTTCACATTGACTTGCCGAATTAGCACAACTTTGTGGATGGGACTGAGTTGTACTTACAGACTGGGTTCATAGGCATCCTCAAGTCCTTGATCGTCCCATATTTCCCGAATATTTCGCGAATGTGATCCTCTTTGACGTTCCTTGTTAATGCCTCCACTACGATCTGCGCGAATAATCAGCATTTGTATGCGAGGCTGTTGCTGCCTAATCCCCTCACCTTTGCACTCCTCGGCGCTGGCGACCCATCCCTTGGTGTTGGGCTTCGAGTATAAGATCTCCCTCTTCCACCTGGTGACTTTGTCCGCGATCGCGACCTTGATCTTGACCTTTTGTCTGGCGTACGGCTTCTGCGCCCATTCCGTCCAGGAGTCGGGGACCGTGTGCGCGAACGAGACCGTGACAGAAGACGAGGTGATTTTGAATCAGGAGGCGATCGCGATTGCGCTGAAAGAGAGCGCCTGGGTGAGCGTGTGTGCGAACGATCGCGCGGGCTTTGAGAACGCGTTCGTGACCGCGACCGATCCATTGGAGACGGCGAGCGCGATGGCATTGTAATCGAGTTAGTATCTGGGTGGCTTGATTTGCAAGATTTTGGAAAAACGGTTCACCGACTGGTCGGGCTATAAAATCAAGAATGTGGAGGTAGATTGAATCTCTTTGAAGCTTGGAGCTCGCCGAATGATCGTCAGAGAGCTTGAAGACTAGCGGCGCGCACGGGCCGTTCTACTACCTTCGTACACCACGAAACCTCGCTGCCGCTTAGCCAACCCTACATAACATATAGCAGACCTCTTCCATTGACCAAGTCTTCAGTTTCCACCCAATCCACGACAGTATCAGGAATCTGGTTTTCCGGCTCCCAAGGCCAATTCATCTGCGAAACATCGACACTTCCTCTCTCAGTGGCCTCGCGTTCCATGATGTCGCCTTCCCAATCGTGTTCGATGTGTCTAGTCGCGTCCAATTTGGCCTTGAAGTTCACAAAGTCATGGTAGATCGACAGTGGACCTCGCTCCGTCTGCCGCTTTTCCGCTGTCTTCTCTGGATCATCTGCTCGAGCGAGTGGTGTCTCATCATCTTGCTCTACAGCCCAGGCCGGAGTTGTGCGAGGTTGTTCTTGATTGACGAGCTCAACTAAGCCGTAGCCGTTCGAGCTTTCCCAGAAGTCGTACGCACAGCCTCCGGAGAACACTTGGCTCATCTGTGGAGAGTACAGGGCTGCTGTCTCTTCAAACTGACGTGGCTGTATGTTCACGCCATACTCGGACATGATGATAGGTAGAGCGGCGCTCTGCAGACGAGCGACCAGTCGCTCGTAGCCGGATATCTGGTAGTTTGAAAGCCCTGCCCACATATAGCAGTTGCACTGGAAAGGGTCAGCCTACGGGTGTTGAGAGCGAACGTAGTACTGACCGTCCAGAAATCAATTGAGCTTGCTGGGTCACCCCAGGAGAGGAAGTTGAGCACTGTCGTGTCCAATTGATCGGCGTCAGCGGCGGTGTAGCCGATGGGAAGAATCCTCTGGCCGTTAGCTTCGTTGTGTATCTTCATGTATCGCTTGAGATCCCTGACTACCGCCTTGATGACCGGAGCCGCTCTCTGAGTACTTGGGCTATTGGTCACACTATTGCCCGCAAGAAGACCCAACGTGTTTGGGTATTGCGACATGACGTCAACGGTCTGGAAGTACTCTGTCACTGACGGTCGGTGGTACGACTGGTACGGCTCCGTTCGATTGATACTGCTGAAGGGAGTAGCGACTGATGTGAAGACATAGATCCCGGCTTGCTCAAGCAACTTCATGGCCTGACCGTGCCTCTTGGTATTGTCGACCGTGTCTTTCACTATCAGCTTCACAGCGTTCGGGAAAAAGGCATGGCTACGAACAAATGAACAGAGTATTCAATCCCAGCTCTTTGAAAAGTTCGACATCGTGCTTCAGCTGCGGTAGACATGTGTCTGAGATTGGATCTTGCGCGTCTGGGACCTGGTATGTAACTCCCCGAACAAAGAACTGCGTTTCAATCAGCATTTGAAAGCACTTGAAAGATCCAGAAAATTGACCCGCTCGTCCCCTCTCCAGAGATATCGTCCGCGAACTGTGATTGGAACAGAAGCTGGAGGGTTAGCCATGTTGATGCTGAAACAAATGTAGCAGAACACTTCTGGGAGTTCAAGGCTGGAATTTCAAGAGTTTTATTGGAGAATTGTCCAAGTGGTGGACTGTTGCCTTTTACTCAGAATCAAGTGTCGGGCGTCCAAGTGGCGGCCTCTTCGAGTGGATCAAGACCTGAACCCTTGCGTGACAGTTGTGGAAGCTGCGGAATGGCACAAGGCTGAGGCAGAAGGACTGTGAGACGTCTCATTCGATAGGCAGCTTCACGATGGTGCAATCACAATAATCGCAGTAGGCAGTCAGTATCGCATTGTGTTGAGACAACCGCCGCATCTCTGCGCTGCTCCTCGCCGTTGCTAACAACCCCGCCACGAGAAACCGCCCCACCAAGACAACACCCAACACTCGCCCTTCCACACCGCATACCTTCACAGCCGCTTAGTCAGACCTGATTGATCTACCTCGCCTCAAACTTGCGATTTTCTTCTGCGACAGTCCTACCGAACCTCCACGCACCCACTCCACCCAGCTCCCGCAGCCCGCACACTACCCCTCCGCAAACATGTCCTGGCAAGGTGAGCACCGGTGACGCACTTGGGCCATTATTGGAGCTGACAACCACACCAGCATACGTCGACCAGAGGTACCAGCTCCACGCAAAACACACAGCGCATCTCTAATTGCCCCGCAGCCTCGTCGGCACTGGCAACATTGACAAGGCCGTCATCTGCGATGCCACCGGCCAGACAACTTGGGCCTCATCCCCCGGCTTCTCCGTAAGTCGACACCAGCAATCACGCTAGCCGCGGCAACAAGAGCGCGGTACACAGGATAGAAGCTGACAGCAGCAGCTCACCCCCGCCGAGATGGGCGCCATCGCCGCGTCCTTCACCGACAAGAGCGAGCCCAAGGCGGTCATCGCCAACGGCGTCAAGATCAACGGCGAGAAGTACATGACCATTGAGGCATCAGACGATTCACTCAAGGCAAAGAAGGTGCGCCCAGAACCTTCCTCTAGTCCATCGTTCACACACTCGAATCGCGAGTCCTGACCTGCGCACAGATACTAACAGTGATGCTATAGGGCAAGGAAGGCGTCGTGGCCTACAAGACAACCCAAGCGCTCCTGATCGCACACCACAATGCCGACGTGCAGACGCCTAACGCCTTCAACAGCGTTGCCGAGCTGGGCGAGTACCTGAAGAAGGTCGGCTACTAGACGGGCCGTCACCGTTCGGAGCCGTACACGTTCGAGTCTTGTTCATACTTTAGGGATATTTGCATAAGCGCGGCGGAAGGATGGAATGTTTGAAGTGAGAAGTGAAAAGTACAGCGCGGGGTGGCAGCTGGTTGAGGTATAGAGACAGCAGGAAGGAAACATAGGACGCAACAATGAGATATATGTACACCCACTAGTTTCCACGCCGTATGGGTCTTGTGAGGGAGCCGCGAAGCTCAGCTCAGCTCGAAACAACAGATTTCTGATGTACAGAAACGTCTTCCGTTGCAGGGGTCAAGCCGCACTCGTACGAGATCTTAACGATACGCACGTACGTTTCTAGGACGGACAGTTGAATGGCAAGACAACGTTTCGCAAGGTAAGAATCTCATGTCGATATTGCTTAGGTCGCTCACAAACGCCAGGCTAGAAATGCTCCACTAGGAAACCCACGTCGAGATCTTGCTTTTGCCTCCATAGTCTCCACATTCCGTCTCCATGCATACACCCCTAGGATAACTGCCATTGCCACTCAAAACGCTACAGCTCCTTCTTCCTCTCAGGACTAGCCTCGATCGCAGCCCGCTCAATCAGCGTCTTGCCTACGCTAGCCGACTCCTTCCATCCGCGCTGGCGAGTCCAGAACCTCGTCTCAGGCGTCGACTCCTTAAGACTAGACTGCCTCGCATCCTCCTCAAGGCTCTTTCTCGTAATCTCCTCCCCGCCATCAGTCAGCGTGGGAAACTTCTGGAGCTGGCTCAAGTTCTCTTCAAAGAACTGCTTCCTGATCAAGAAGCGCTCGCGACGCTCCTTCTGCTGGCCTGGAGAGTCCATCTTCGAGACCGCGATGCGGACCGCGGTGCGAACGAGAATGAAGCCGTGCTCTGCGAAGAAGACGGTGAGGAGGAGGGCCCAGAGCTGGATGTTGGACGGCTTGCCGTCGGGGCCTTTGCCGTCGCCGTAGAACATGTAGACAAGCGCTGAGGTAGTCAGGCTGCCGAGCCAGGTCAGGAAGGTGAGGCTGTCGAGCCATGGACCGATGGTGTCGGCACGCCATGGGATGGGACGTTGCATCTCGACGCAGATCTTCATAGCATCCGCGCGGAGCTCGATCCAGTTGTTGATCAAGAACGAAACGGCGGTTAGAGGCCAGACGACGGAAAAGAGGGACAAATAGCCGAATTGCACAACCATCTCGCGGAGATCGGCGGTGACATCGTAGATACCGAGTTCGGCTTCTTTGCGGACACGCTCTAAGAAAGCGGCATCCTCAGGCGGGTCGTTAGCAGCAGCTGATGGGGCAGCACCACCGTTCTTCGCGGCACGCTTAGACTGCATCTCCTTGTACTTGGCGAAACCTCGGCGCTTCAGATAGGGAACAATGAGCTCCATGCCCAGGTTGACGACTTGCGCAGTGACAGTGAAGTAGATGACTTGCTTGCGGAGACGGTCGGGGTTGATCGACCAGGCAGAAACGTCGGTGGTAGAGCTGAGGTGCAGCTGCTTCTCGTCCTCGGCAAATGGTCGAACAGCCACATTAAAGACGTCGAGGTACGGCACGATAATGGTACCGAAGGGTACGTAGACGAACGCAGTAAGGAAGATACCTAGGTAGGACATGATGAAGTTCAGAACGAAGATCTTCTGGGTCAAGGAATATTCGAACGCGCTTGCTGTCTCGTAGTTCTCGAACTTGGTAAGTCGTGTAGCGAACTGAGTCAGAATGGTGTTCAGGACAGGATTGACGGTGGTGAGGATACCCGTAGGAATGAAGACCAATACGCTCTTAAGCGGCCCATTGTAGACCTCCGAGATGAAAACCTCAATGCCAAAGCAGGTTGCAATGACAGTTCCAAGCATAAGCGTGGCCGCGATGGCGAAGGGGACCTGCAGCAACTGCCTTTGGAAGCGCTTCTGCGCAGGGAAAAATCCGACCTGCTCCCCAGTCACAGGGTCTGTGATCGTCTTCTCGTGTAGAAAGTCCCTCCTCTTGACGTCGATCTTGGAGACTCCTTTAACGCCCCAGCGGACACTGAGATCACCCTCCTGCTGTTTCCAGTATTCAGTGAAGACGACACACCAGAGCGCGCTGAAGATGCCGTAGATGGGCGAGAAGTGGCCGAAGAAGAGCCATGCAAAGGCGCCGAACCCGGCTGCAGGAATTAAGAAGGTGAAATAGGATTGCGTGAATGCGAAGTAGAAAGCGATCTGCGGGGGTCAGCTTGTACAGCTAGAGAATTTGTGTGTAAGACGTACCTTCTCGCCCAAGCGGTTCCGAATATCGTCAAGATCTTCCGTCTTAAGAAAGTACGACTGTGTCCATTTCTTGATCCAATCCTTGTTGTATGCGTGGTCGTGCAGGGCAAAGATGGACTCGACATTCTCCCAATCCCCTTCTTTAGGGGTAATGCCAGCTCCGCCTTCGTTTGCAGGGTTGGTGATCAGTTGGTAGATAATGCGTAGACGTTCGGCTTCGTAGAGGGGCTCGGCTTCGAGTGCTGCACGCGTCTCTTTGTCGGGGGCAGCAGAGCGGACGCCATGCATCCAGTCTCGCACCCTGAACTCGTGTTACTTTTGCTAAGGTATAGAAGCTCATAGTGATATGCGCACCTTGACCTGTAGACTTCACCAAATAAGTGCTCGTCAGAAGCTACCCTGACGAAGAGCAGCAGCGAGTGGTTGTCGCCATTGCGGGCTTCTGTCTGCAGACCCACATTCGCAAGAGCATGGCACAGCTTCTCGAATTGAGCTGCGGCTTGGGCCTTGTCTGTACGATAATCAGCTCCAGCTCCTTCTTAGTGTCTTCACGTGCTGCACACCCGTTTTCGCAAAGCAGTAGCTGATCACGTAGTCGACGTCCAGGTTCGACTGGAGCGCCTTTGATTTTGACATGGCGGAGAGTTCGCTCGAGTCGAGCAGGAGGAATTTGATGTCGTAGATCTTCCAAGCGAAGGCAGTGAAGTAGGGGATCTTATGAGGGGCAGAGCCTCCCGAAGCAGACATTCCAAGGTGGTGTTCCGTTCAGGGAAGGGACCACGGACGTCATTGAGGCGTCGATTGAAACCCTGCAGGAATCCCGCTTTGACATTTCGACATCGCCAACGCGGGGAGAGGCACAAACAGGAATCGCTGGCAACACAGAGAAAGAGCCAGCTTGATTGCGCACGCAATCGAGTCAACTTCAGAGCCACAAATTCGTCATTGTCTATCTGTTGTGCGATGGCAGCTTCTGTTCCTTACGCCAGACAATTGCTGAGCAGATAACGGCTGCGACTGGGATGTGCTTGTGCGAATGAATATCCAATTGCAAAGATGAGATAGCTGATGAGACTCGAATTTGACTCGAATACATTAGAGTGAATTATTGAGACTCAGTAGTGCCAAATGTATACAAGGCGAGGCGAGTCATGCGGCAGCTCTACGAAGCTGGAGACTGACCGCACGCCTTTGCAACTTCCGCAGCTTCAACTGCTGGAGCGACACCCAACCCAAATGTCACTTCCTAAGCACGCGCAGCAATACCTAGCCAACCAGTTCAAGTACGCGCACCTCAATGCATTTGTGTCGCTAGCCGAGCCCTCGAAATTGGCCTCTTACGCCAACCTCAAGATCGAACGTCACGATGTCAAAGACAAACCGATCGCGATCAAGGACAACATCTGCACCACAGACCTGAAGACCACAGCCTCCTCAGGGATACTGAAAGATTTCACAAGTCCATACGATGCGACAGTAGTAAAACTTCTGCGGGATGCGGGCGCGGTGGTCTGCGGCAAGACGAACATGGACGAGTTCGGTATGGGCTCGCACTCGACGCACTCAAACTCGGGAGCTGTAAAGATGCAAAGGTGTGCAACCGAGGAAGAGAGGAGTGCTGGAGGCAGTTCAGGAGGAAGCGCCCTTGCTGTTGCAAGCGCACAGTGCTGGGCAGCTCTGGGAACAGACACCGGTGGTTCCGTCAGACTTCCGGCGGCGTACACAGGCGTGGTAGGATTCAAGCCCAGCTATGGACTCTTGTCCAGATGGGGCGTCATCGCATATGCAAACTCACTCGACACCGTTGGTATTCTAGGCAAAGACGTTGAAGACGTCCGCGCTGTCTTTGGTAGGAGTTTGATGGTCCCGCTGCCGTAAAGCACATCTGACTTCAGCTGCAGATAAGCTCAACGCCTACGACCCCCAAGACCCCACCTCGCTCCCCCCTTCGACCCGTGCTCGTCTACAAAATAAGAAAAAGGCCTTCTTCCGAATCGGAATCCCGCTAGACTACAATATCAGCACGCTACAGCCTGCCGTTCGACAGGCATGGACGCGTACTTTGAAAGAGCTGTATGAGAGTGGACACAGCTTGCACCCTGTACACCTACCAGCGACCCAGCATGCACTGTCAGCATACTACATTCTGGCACCTGCGGAAGCCTCAAGCAACCTTGCGAAGTATGATGGAGTTCGATATGGTAGCAGAGCAGAAGGCATCGACGGTACACCCGAAAGCGTCCTGTTCGCAAAGACAAGGGGTCAAGGATTTGGACTTGAGGCACAACGACGAATTCTGCTCGGCACTTTCACGCTTAGTGCCCAGGCTATGGACAATTACTTTATCCAAGCACAAAAAATCCGCAGACTCGTCCAAAACGACTTCAACAGAGTATTCACAACGGTAAACCCTCTAGTAGACGACATGCCAAAGTCGGATGAAGATGAGAACACGGTCGATGTGATTGTCTGTCCTACTGCTCCGACGCTTGCACCATCCCTGACAAGCGTCAAGGAACAAGACCCCATATCCACCTACATGAACGATGTCTTCACAGTACCGGCCAGTCTTGCTGGCTTACCATCAATCAGCGTTCCTGTCCGGATAGCGCGCGACGATCTGGCGGCTGAGCAGCCTCTCGAGGAGACTGTTGGCATCCAGGTCATCGGCCAGTACGGGGATGATGATCTCGTCCTTGCAGCTGCAGATGTTATCTCGAGAGTCGAATCAATGAGTCAAGCATAGAGCAAGGCACCAGACGTGACTTCGTGGGGCGCCAGCACCTCGGAGTGAAACGACACGACCGCTGCGACTGTCCTTGTGGACAGCACTGTAAGATACAACAAAGTGAGGATCGACGATACCCAATTCAAAAGACTGTACGACAGTTGTATCAGAGTCTTTAGATCAAAACCAACACAATCAACACCAGCCACAATGCACCTCTGCTCTGTATACCGCCTTTCCTTTACCGCTTTTGTTGATCCGCAAGCTCAATGTGCCTGATGACACAAGCGCTGCAAGACTGGCGAGATCATGTCTCACATTTACCGCGATTGACGGCTGTTGGTAGTGGCATACCGACTTTCACAGTCATCAGCCGCGGCAAACGTAAGACGTGACCTCGCCAGTAGCGGCAGGAATGGTCTTCTCCGAGGTCACATGCTGTGAGGCCGTCCGTTGAGCAGTATGCGGCCGCTGTGATACCTCATGACGGCAGAGACGGCCCATTACCTAAGGTAGTGGGTACATTGTGGGGTGTATATCTTGTCGCAGCTATCGACCGCCAACAATCCACGTGATGAGCTTACGATGAGATACCCGCGATACACTGTCCCTCCAGACTCTCGCCCGCGCACACGTGTTCCAATCTGCGATGCGTCTACACGACTTAGTCTCTTACCTCATTGGTCCTGCACCTCTAGCAACTTCCAGGATCCAGTCTCAGCATGAACGGCGAAATGTGTTTCGAGTCGAAACGAAAGTGAGGCGTCTACATTCACAAGCAACATGTTGAGCACGAATTACAGCATCAACCTGTCAAAGCAGCTCAAAGAGTACAACAGCTTCAGCACACGGTTCTGTGCTCGCAGTTCATGCATGCCCAGTCGAGCACGAGCGGGGTTACACATGCAGTACATACTACACTCGCCTAACATCCACCAGTAGGCGCCTGGCCTCGAGTCTCTTGATAACAACCTCAACTAAGTGGACGCCTTATCCAAAGTCTCCTCCCCCCGTGCTATACCGCACTTGGTATCTCATATACGTGGGCGCTAGCTTCACATGTAGCGGCTCGGTCCAGTACATGCGGGCGATCTGCAAGCCATACTGCATGTGCATCTCGTGGTGGTGTTAAGACGTCCGACATTTTCCTATCAGACTGTCTTGGCCCGATGGAGGTGGACCACATAGGTGCATTCAGCGCGTTGCCGACGCAGGCTGGCCTGACATGCAGACTTGACAGTCCTGTTGTGCAGATCTGACAGACCGGGAAACGCATCCAAGGTCCATCCTGCCTCCAATCCGATTGTGAATCTACCACCCATATCAGCAGATGCAGGCGCCAGTCTAGCCTTGGTCCTCCACTTGCTACCCAGCATCGACCCTGCATCTCCAACACATCGTGTGGGGTCCAACGCCTCACTCTACCCTGCGGCCTTTACGCGCCCGAGTCGCAGCTCGCCGTGGTTTGTCAAGTGTGGAGTACGTAGCCAAGCTAAGTGTTAGTGGGCGGCGATATGTCACCGGTCTGTCGGCGGCCAATCGGCCGCACATATCCCGCATGGTCAGGTGTCGTCGCCATGCTACCGCGTAGCATGGAGAAGCAGGATCGAGAAGCAGTCCAGAGGGGGTGAGCGTTGTATATAAAGCACCCGCCACGGGCACCTTGATGGATACAGCTCACCGACTCGACACTTCATTACCACACTCCAACGAATCACACCAAGCTTACGCTATCAACCAATCATATTCAGAATGTCTCCATGGTACGTCCTGCCCTTTTCAAATCTCGAGCCAATCTTGACACGAAGAGCCTTGGGTTCTGGTGTTAAGGTGGCACGTTGAAGGAGAGCGGGGAACACCCTGATGGCCATTGTGCATGCAAGACAAACGCCAGCTAACCGCGACCAACAGCACCTGCAACACCTGCTCCTGCAAGGGCGACTGCTCCAGCTGCGGATGCGGATCCTGCTCTGTAAGTCCCTCCCACAACTCACCCTCACGATCTCACCTACACAATCTCACCCACATGATCTCACCATCGGGGTGGAGCTCACCTGCCATGCATCCGTCTAACGCCCACCAGCACTAAGCACCTTACGCTCTGATCTCGATCTCTCTTCTGAAGTCCGATGACCGACGCCTGAAGTTCGACGACTGACGAGAGCCCAACCCGTCCCGCCACGGAAGATCTGATAACTACTTGGGACGTCAAGAACAACGCAGCGGCCTTTCTGATATGGCGTTGTTGGGCGAGAGGAGCGGGTGATAGTAGTATGAATTGAATAGAATATGGATCTGAATGATTTCTCGCACTTGGTTCGCTTTGTGAATTCTTTGACTCGCTGAATGGGTTGGTGGACAGGTTTGTGCCAATGTGTGCTGCCACTGCTGCTTGTTGCTCGATCTCCAACCGGACGCGGTCTGTGTACTTGTGATATCGTATCGTCATGAGTTATGATGAGACCAGACCTTCACTAACGACAATAACCAAAGCTTGATTCATCGAATTCACGCATGTTGTTACTCTATATGTGCATCACGCAGCCATCTCAAATATCCAGATGTTGCCTAATATCATCACCGAGCCTCCACTCATCCTCCCTCGCCGTCCGCTCAAGCGGCGTCATGACGTCGTCCTCGTTCCGCTCCCGGCCACCGTCTGTCCCGCCGCTGCCCACCGTCTCCTTTCCCACACTCCCTGCGTTGCTCTTCGTTCGATTCTTCTTCTTGAACCAGCTGCGCTTGCTCTGCGTGCTCTGCGCGTCTTCGCCGTCGCCGACCTCGCTCCGCTCCGATGCTACGCTGGCCGCGTACTCGCTGGACACGAGCGTCGGGTCGCGGCTCGAGGCCGTGGACGTGTTGGAGGACAGCTTGGTGAGGTGATTCGGGTCTGGGAAGGAAGGTTGCATCGGGTTGGCGCGCGGCGTGGGCGCGGGTGTAGTGTCCGTGCTGGGCGTCGATTCGACGAGTTCGGCGTCGCGGTACCATTTGCGGCGGCGCGTGTAACGGCCCCAGCCATCCTGGCCTCTGCGACCGTCGCGCCACTGTTCGTGTGTTAGTTGAGCGGTGGCGAGAACGGGGGAAGAGAAGTACCTTGTTGTCGTAGTATATCCAGCCCATTTCCTCCTTGCTTGCGCCTTTGGGCACTTTGGTGTCCGAGTCGCCGGTCTCGATGGCCCAGGAGCTACCTTGGACCCATCGCCAGCGTGAGGCGCCGCCCTCGACTTCGGGGAGTTCGAAGCGTTCCTTGTCGGGGACGGGATTCATGTGTTCGTCTGTCCAAGATGCGCGTTCGTATGCTAGCATCGAGGATGTCCAGCCAATACCCAGCCATCGGCGTTGGTTCTCATAGATTGAGAACGTGAAGCGGACGCCAGTTGATTCAGGGCGACGCTTAGCCGCAAGTGACGCAGCAACTTCCTGTGTGCTCTTCTTTCTTGGTGGGAGGGGTGGCGGTTGCTGGCCTTTGGAGTTGGGAGCGTCGCCGAAGTCAAGGCCAGTGACAAATACGCAGATTCGACGGACCGTACGTGAGCGCCAGAGTAAGGTACGGGTCACGCGTGCAGGACGCGAGTGCCAACTCAAGACCACAGTGCCAACGGCTAACACCACCCGCTTTGTTGTCAGGATGTACAGGGGAGGCAGTGTGAGGGCGACCCAGAGCGGCAGGACGAAAATAATGCGAATGAACAGTACAGTGAGTGCTGGACGTGTGGTCGCTGACGTTGCCGTGCGCTGTGTTGATAGAAAGTCCGTCAACCGCAAGAATGGGTCCAATAGTATGTTACAGCGTGACGTAAACAGCTTCAGATCTTCCACAATCTCCTCCAGACTCTTGTGGTGTTTGATGTTGCTGTCAGACTCTGCCCGCTTATGCCCCTTCTGGCCCTTCTCCCCAGTCCACCCTGTCGATGACAACGGTGAGTATCTGCGCGCGTACATGCCTAGGATCAGGCTCGACACAACGATGATGGGCCCAGCGTATCGTGTGATGGCGTCACCATACATGACAGCCGCCCAGAAGCTGGCAACCAGTATGAAGCTCTCCCATGAGTCCCCGGTGGTCCATGTTAACAGTCCGGCGAGTTTGTTCAAAGGCAACAAGAACGGATGCGAGTACGCGAGCACGCGCGTGACTTGCGGTGGCGTGGCAGCGAGCAGAGGCGACTTCTGGTGCACGAGTATAGCAGAGCGGAGCTTCGTTTGCGGCGTTACTTGCCCTATGCTAGAGGGCGAGAAGGTGGCATAGGTTGGCGGATTCGGGTCGCCGGGGGGCTGCGGCGACGCATCGTTGGAGGGCTTTGAAGGGCTGGACATATGCTCTAGCCAGGGCGTGTCTTTCAGTGTATTAGCATACTGCGTGCTGTGCCGAATTATATACGAAAGTGTGTTGGTGGTGGCATACCTAGTGCTGCCATGCAGTAACGTTAATTAGCAGCACATGAACAACGTCATCAGCGGTCGAGTTGGAAGACGCGTCGAGACTTTGGTAGCACGTTACAAGCTATTGCAAAGACCACTGGAGTATACTACAGAGGTGATACAGGCGAAGGCAGTGTGCAAAGCTCGCGTGAGGCTTTCGGCATATGATGCGGTCACTGGTAGACATGGACCCTAAGGCCTCGGGCATGTGAAAGAAACACTTGCTCGGTAAATGCGGCATATCAAGCGTCTCGGACATCAAGGAATTCTTTTTCGTCTATGGCAAAAACAAGACGAAGCTCAATAGAAGCCGCAAGCTGTGCACATATCAATATACTCGCCGTGGAAGCTGTGCAATATATGAGGGTGATGGTTCTGTGCTTTGCGATCGGAGTTTGATTGGCTGTTGAGTGCAGAGTCACGTGGACCAGCGGAAGAGCGCCGAAGACTCGGAAGGCGATCTGAAAATCTTGGGATCATTCATCCAGTGTTCAGCACGTCCATCGAGGCAGGCTAGCCGTGTCGCCCATCTCGCCCATCTTTGTATCAGCTGCCGTGTCACTGGTCGCTGTCGCCCTCGCTCCTTCCTCACAATGGTGAGTTCACTCCACTCCAGCTCCAGCAACAATCAGCTAACACCCCGAGGCCCACCGCATAATAACGCAAGTCGTCTTCTCCGGCGCACGTATCATCGGACGCGCCGTCACCGAGTCCTATCGCCAGGCTGCCGCTTCGCAGAAGTATGCCGCCGCAACTGCTGGTAGTGGCGGCGGCGGCGCCTTCACATCCTCCAACATCACCATGGACGAGGCCTGCAAGATTCTGAATGTTGGTCCCGGTAAGATGGGCACAATAGAAGCGGAGCAAGTCACCGAGCGGTTCAAGCGACTGTTCGACCAAAACGATCCGCAGAAGGGTGGTAGTTTCTACCTGCAAAGCAAAATTTTAAGAGCAAGAGAGAGGATCGAACGAGAACTACAAGGGCAGCAGCGCATGGCCGAAAGAGAAGCAGAGATATCAGAAGGGTTCAAGCCGAAGTTCACCAAGGAGGAGAAGTGAGCAGGGCTTACCGAGGGCTTTGCAACGCGAGGAACGCGGCTGTGGCAGGGGCGAGCAGAAAGATGTTAGACGCATATTTGCGAGCGAAGAAGAGCTCTGAAATGCATCAAGATGGCGTTCGGTTACGGGCATAGCGATTGAAACGGGCATGTCCTTGGGGAGTGGCACCATTATTCGTCTTCCTCAAGCACGTCAAGAGGGGGCGCACGTGTAGTCGCACATCTCTCTACTCCCCCCAGTGGATATTTGGCTCCTTAATTTGTGTCAACATTGTAACATTAGAGGCTACGAGCGTTGTACCATTCTTCAAATAGGAAGCACTGTAGGAACTTGTATTATATTTGAACGAAGCTTGGCGAACAAACACACTCCTGCCACTTTATCTCCGATAATAAGGGCAAGTTATTGACGATGCAATACCTATAAGCATTCCCAGGACTATTGCCTGCCAATGAATGCTAGGCAGAAGGAGGAGTGGAGAGCACGGAGCCGCACCTTCCCCGGCTCTTAGCGGCCCCACCCGCGAGTCCAAACATTTCTGCGCGCGGCCCTTTCTTCACCTGCACGTCACCACCACCAAACACAGAAACTTCTACAAACGCCTGCTGTTACGATCTGACGCGTCGCGCACAATAATAACCAGTCAGACGCAATGGGAGATTCATATCGCCCAGGCGGTGGCGGTGGACGACCGCTGTCCGAGCGCATGACGTTCACCAGCGGAGGCGGCGACAACTATCGTCCTGGTGGAGGTCAGCAGGGTCATGGAAACTCTGAGTTCACATTTTCATCCAATCACGATGGACCGCGATTCCCACCTGCTGGTCCAGCCAACGCAGGACCGGCGAGACGGCGCGATCAACGCAACGGCGGCCTACGCGACTCGAGACGCGGTGGCCCAAATGGTCGCGGCAGAGGCGGTGGCCGTGGAGGGTACCGCAAGCCTGGTGCTCATGAGCGCGCTCTCTTGACCGTTCAAGATCGTGGCAGTCCTGAGCGTACACTAGGTGTTGCTGACGGATCGAATAAGTTCATGAATGTGGATGAGATGTCCGAAGAGGAGGAAGAGGAAGAAGACGACAAGGCAGCCGGAGACGACACAGCTAATACTGAGATCGGTACACACAAGGTCGCTCGCACCGCAAACGAGCGCGCCGATGGCGACTCTATACCGAAGTGGAGCAACCCAGAGATCTACTCTGCCCTACCTCCGCCTGAGGAGCTAAGACCCGGCAAGAAGATTGACTTTGTTCAGCTGATAAGAAAAGCAAAGAACGAAGCAGCTGAGAAGGGTGACGGCAACAATGCTGTAGCTGCCAACGATGACTTTATCTCATTCGGAGATGATGACGCCTCCGCCAAAGGAACTGATGTGATCAGTCTCGACGACGACGAGCCCAGGACAAATAAGCGACCGCAGAACGGAGGCTTCGTACAGGGTCCTATGAATGACCTCGACTACGTCGACTCCGTCATGAACCGAAACAAGCGCTCACACCAAGCTGCTGATCTACATGATCAGCCACAGCAAAGCAAGGCGAAGCGCAAGAGGGCCGAAATCGAGAATGTGCGTGGCATAGTACAGGAGTGGATGGGCAGTGCGCGATGCGATACTGCACCGTGGCTCGATCCACGACAAAGCTACGCGCATCTTGTCAATGACCCACTCAAATGGTAGGTTGACCTACCGATTCTTGTTTCTGTATAAGTCCTCACAGTATCAGGTTACACAACGAGATTCTGGACTTCTACGACTTTGTTGCGCCTCAACCCTACGAGCATGACATTCGTCACAGACTCGTCCAGCGAGTTCAGCAAGCTCTGGGTACTCAGAGGTTCCCTCAAGACACCGGTCGCATACTATGTTTTGGTTCTTTTCCTGCAGGTCTCTATCTGCCCACTGCAGATATGGACCTTGTGTACACTTCGGACAGATTCTATCAGGGCGGCCCGGCAGCCATGGACTTCAGCAACAAGAGTGTAGTCAACTCCACGCTCAGGAAGGCTGCCAGAAGGCTCGAGAACGTCCGCATTGCCGTCAATGTGCTGTGTATCACCAAAGCCAAGGTACCGATTATCAAGTTCGTGGATCGTGTCACCAACATCAATGTCGATATTTCGTTCGAGAATCTGAGCGGAGTTCAGGCACAGGCAACATTTCAGCAGTGGAAACATGATTACCCCGACATGATCTATATGGTAGCTCTGCTGAAGCAATTTCTTGTCATGCGTGGCATGAACGAGGTTCACACGGGTGGCATTGGAGGCTTCACTATCATCTGTCTGGTTATCAGCTACTTCCAACACAACAAGAAGCCAGAGAATCTCGGTGACTGCTTCTTAGGCTTCCTCGACTACTACGGCAACGAGTTCGATCTGCGAACTCAACGCATACAGATGCACCCACCTGCGATCATCCGCAAAGACGGCTGGGATGTTGACGGCCGCGAGGAGAGACTTGATGGCCTGTCTATCCAGGACCCAAATCGCCCGGAGAACAACATTTCTGGAGGATCTCACAAGGCAATCGAAGTGTTTAAAGCCTTCCGCGCTGCGCACAGGGTGCTGAAGGAGCGTATTGATTCGAAGAGCCCCGGCAGAAGCATTCTTGAATGCCTTCTAGGCGGCAACTACGAGGCATACATTATGCAGCGACGTCATATGCAGACTCTTAAGTAAGTTGTATGTAACTGAGTTTGTCAGGGCCACATCATGGTATTCGCGGTGAAGGAGCATCTGGATGACTGCAGCCTCAAGCTCAGTATCTAGCATCTGTTCGCCTCCTGCTTACCTTGGACCTGATTTACTCGGTGCACACAACTTATTTCTTTGCGAACGACCGTGGCTTATGACTTACTTTGTTCTAGTGCCAAGGATCTGCACAACGTTGACCGGTATATCGACGCCGCACAAAGGAGCAATGATCCGTGGTCCCGACAGGTCGGGTGGATTTCCACGTTGCCGCGATTGCACTACGGTGATGGATTTGCATGAAAAGTGTAGATGGAGTACTGAGATGTATATCATAACGGTAGGGCGTTTATCGGCGTGTGTGAATTGAGAAGCTTATGTGCTTCGTGCGGTTCACTCACCATTGCACAGGTTAGGGCGGTCATTTGTTACGATACCCTGGAGCATCACAGGCGTTGCGCTCGAGCATTCTACGAAGAGCATTACCAATCACGATCCACAGCGGGCTGCTGTCTGTATCAACACAACGCAGACGGACGAACGACTCTACATTGCCACCGGGCCCACGAGTTGATCAAGCGACTTGTTATTGTACTCTAGACCCTCATGACATCGAGTTCCACCTTTCCCCCTCTGCTTTTGTCATCTGCTTGCCTCGGCGGCAGCTACTTCTTATTTTGGCTCCACTAACTTGTACCCGGTGTGGGTAAGGCAACTTCAAGGATTAAGCTTTTGGCAGTTGTCATGCAGCAACTGCCAGATGGAACCCTCAGAAATGTCCATCATCATGGAACACCTTTTCTCATTAAGTACCTTGCAATATGCAAATACTTGAGGAAGAAAGGTGGACCGGCAGTAGACATCACTTTGCAGGTAAGGCTCTGAGCATGTCTCCAGTCGGAGAGACAGTGAATAACTCAAATGCAATCCTTCTACACCTGCCACTAGTCTCTACATTTGTTATACATATACTGTACATATATTGACGGCAGCGGCGTGTCAGAGTGGAGACAGGGGGGCGATCGGAATTATCGGGACTTGGCGTTGGCCGTCAACAAGCGACCGACTTTCTAAACACCACACTTCATGGACGCTATACCTCTGCTGCAGCCATGAGGTTACACACAAGCTCACTATGGCAATCTGTTGCCGTGATTCTCTTACTGGGCGGCGCAGCACATGCCTCGTTGGGTGACAGGCTGCCCGATTTCAAACATTGTCTGGAGGTATGAGGCATGGCCATGGCAGCCATTGTTGTTGTACTGACAACTATTCGAGGTCTGCAAAGAAGCTAATTGCGGCGAAAACCCTACGACGATTCGTATGTCTTTCTCTAAACGCCATTCGAATAAATTCTGACCCCACCAGCCTTCCACCGCCGCCTCTTGATGTGGGATTGTCCTGCCGAATGCGACTACACCTGCCAACACGTCGTAACCACGGAACGCCTCGCTCGCGACCCGCCGTACATGCAGCCCATATACCAATTTCACGGCAAATGGCCCTTCTACCGCTTCATGGGCATGCAGGAGCCCTTCAGCGTCATCTTCTCGTTGTTCAACTACCTCGCTCACAACTGGGGCATGACGCAGCTGCGCGAAAAGATCCCCGCTTCCTACACCCTGCGCAAATACTACCTCTGGTTTGGCTACGTCGGCCTGGCCAGCTGGACTTTCAGCATGATCTTCCACACCCGCGACTTTGGTATCACGGAGAAGCTGGACTACTGGGCCGCGGGTGCCAACGTGCTGTACGGATTGTACTACGCGCCGATCCGCGTTTTCCGCCTCGATCGCAATGACCCTCGGAAGCAAAGTTTGCTCAGGCTGTGGACTGTGCTATGCATACTGCTATACATTTTGCATGTCGGCTATCTCTCGCTGTGGAGCTGGGACTACACATACAACATGGCCGCCAACGTTGCCGTCGGCACACTGGCCAATCTGCTATGGAGCGGCTTTAGCTACGTGCAGTACAAGCGAATCGGACGGACGTGGGCGGTGCTGCCAGGTATATGCGTGGCATGGGTCATCTCGGCGATGAGTCTGGAGCTGATGGACTTTGCACCGTGGAAGGGCATGATCGATGCGCACAGCCTGTGGCATCTGGGGACCGTGGTACCGACGGTTCTCTGGTACAAGTGAGTTGGCCTCAGAATATTTGAAGGCCGTTGTGCTGACCACCACAGCTTCTTGATCAGGGACGCACAGGAAGACATAGCAGGTACGCGCCTCAAGCAATGAGCCTTCACCTCCTTCCACAATACTTACCACGCACCTCTCAGGCAAACTGCCTATGGCTAATCGTGGTGCAGGCGCACGGAAAGGAAAGGACTAGGGCACACTGTGCGACGTATACGAAGCGTGAGCTCATCAACACACACCACTTCAGCGGGAGTGCTTCTTCTCCTTCATGTATACAGATTTCGTGAAGTCACAGCTTGACTTAGTGTTACCATACCGTACAACACTAGCCCCGACTATCCCTCTACACCTGTCGTACAACTTTTCTGTTTTAGTCCGCCTCTCCTTCGGCCAATGCTCACGCGTATTTCTTAAGCAGCTTACCAGATCAGCTCCCCACATCGCTGTTTCGGAATTGACTTCACCCTGTCTAGATGCTTTGTAAGCTGTCCAGTTGTGTTCAGACTGGCAGCACTGAGCGTGTACTCCTGATAGTGTCGTGAGCTCATGGATTGCAAGGTCTTGGTGGCTTGTATGCTTGGGGGATCGGCAAGGTAAGGCAGGGGCGCAAAGATAATATGTGGGAAAACAACCATTGATTTACCAGACTCCGAATACACATCCGTACTCCAAAGACACACCCCGACTCCAGGACCACACCAAACCTCCTTAACGAAACTCGACGCATGGAATGTGCACCAACGCCATACACCCCAGGCAAAGGACCCCACATCTAGCCCAAATTCTCGAGTTCCGCCCTCAGACCCTCAATCAATTGCTCTCCCTCATTCAAACTCATCATCTCAGTTGGTGCAAAAATTCCAACATCCAACCTGCCATCTTGAACCGTAGCTTCGACATCGACCGCATGCTGTGCAATATTAGCTCCCCTGCTCTCCGTATTGCGTCGTGTGCTGTGGGGACTTACAAGGTACACCTCGTTAACACGCTTCACTCTCAACTCAATCGGCACATCTCCGTCTGCGCCCTTCATCTCAGTAACTCTGCTGACTGCTTCCATCCAGCCATACACCTGTTCAATCTTCACCTCGTCGGGCTGGCCAGATTTTTCATCCCCAGGATGCAGGCTGAGGAAATTGACAAACGTGTCGATCTTCACGAGTGTCCACTCAGCAACTTCAGCGAGACTGCTTGCCGCGATGATTGGCTCACTGATCAGTCTCAGATCATCCTGCACCTGTCTTGCGACCTCTTCGATTGGCGTCGTGGACACCTGCCTTACGCGGAGCGGAAGCAGATTCACTGTCGGTACAGGTGCCGAGGGGAGGTTCTCGATGGGCAATCCGCGGTTGGCGAGGTAAACCCCGATCACCACATCATCTCCCTGACTCTGTTCCGCAGCATAGAGTCTTGCATATGCCGCGAGGAAGAGGGCCTGTGTCGAGATGCCATTTTGTCTCGTTATCTGTTCTAAGGAAGCAGTTTGGAGGAGGCCGGGCTTGAAGATCTCGATTTTCGATGTGGGTGCGGGTTTTGCTTCGGTGCTGTGCTGCGGCTTCAGGCCGGACAGGTACGACGTCCAAAACGCTTGTCGTTGCGACGCTGCTGATTTGGGGTAGACTGCAGCGATATAATCGTTGAATCCAGAGGTTGGCGAGGAAGGCGCGGTACCGTTGCAGTAGCTTTGCAGCTGCTGCGTGAGAAGGGGTAGACTCACGCCGTCGTAGAAGGCGTGGTGGATCTTCAATCTTAGTGTCCAACCTGAATCTGCGCGCGCGGCGAAGATGTGCGCCCAGGGCTGTTGCTTTGCGACCTCAGTCATCGTGTGTGCTGTAGTCGCATCATCTTGGCCCGTGATGTTGGTCAGGGAAGCGTTTGCCTCCTTCAATACGACCTGGATGTAGGGCAAGCCTGTTTGGCCAGTCGTGATGATCCGTGTGCGAAGGATCGGGTTCACGGCAGTGAGATCTTGCCATGACTTTTGCAGCGTTACAAAGCTCAGATCTCCTTTGAGATTGTAGACGAACTCGGGATAGAAGTTGGCGCCCTTGGTGTTAAGCCACATGGAGACCATGTACAGTTGGCCCGCAGTAAGAGGTAGGATACGATCGACCTGCGAAGCCTCGACTCCTGCTTGTTGCAAAATGTGATTTTGATCGAGTCCGCGCAAAGCTTGTCTGATGATAGTGTCCGAATCTTTAGGTACGTTGGTAGCAGACTTTGTGCGTTTGTCAACTACCACGGCCATCTTTTCTACACTACCGGCTGTGAGCATCTCGCCAACACTGAGAATAATCCCTTGCCTGCGAAGCGTTGACGACACCTTGATGGCGCTGATGGAGTCCAGGCCAATGTGGAAGATGGACATGTCTCGCCCGATTTCCGTCTTCGGTACTTGAGCGACTGAAGCCAGGGCCTTTTGTATCTGTAAAGCCGTTTCTGACAGTGGACCGTTGACAGGATGACTTGTTTGTTTCTCTGACATGCTGCTGTTGAGAACATCCGTACTTCTCTCCCTGAAGGCTGGCAAGCCACATAACGACGTCCCTTGTAACGTTGAATCGATGGTAGGACTCTCAGGAGACTGTATGATGTTGTGAAGCGCTTTGTCCAGAGTCTTGAGTAACAGTTGGGCCCCTTCCAGGTTCAGAACTTCTTCTTTGACAGCGCAACGCCAGACTAGCGTGTTGTTGACGACCTCCATCTCAACACAGATCGGGTACTCGACGTCGCTTTGGCTCTCAATGCTACGATAGAGCTCCATTTCTGAGCTGGAGCCTTGCTGAGCATTTTTTTGGTATACGAACAAGCAGTCAAACAACTTACCCCGACAGCCTGCAAGAACTGAAGCTTTTCGGAGGGGGTAGTGCTGCCATTGCTTGATGTTGTTGAAATTGTCCTGCACATACTGTAGCAGTTGCACACGCGATCCGTGCACTACTGTGCGAACAGCGACTGTGTTCATCGTCGGAAAGAGTAGCTGAGATCTCTCGTCGTCGTCACGACCGGAGAGCACGCAGCCAAAAGTGACATCGAGGGAGCCGACATGCGAAGCCAATGTCATGGCGAAGATCGTTTGCCCCAAATTTTGCAAAGATACCTTTCTGTTCTTGGCGAAAGCTGTGATGTCTGGTAGGCTCACTCCGCTCGACATTTCCTTGCGATGGACTTTCTCTGTTGCTGCGAAATCCAAGTGGCGGCGAGCAAGCAGACTTGGCCTCGCTCCTGTCAAGTAGTCTTTCCAGAAGGCTTCGGCGTCCGCTCCAGAGCCTGCGACGATGTTGGCCAAGGTCGCTTCGTAGTCAGGCGCAGGGCTGTATCTTCTCATGTACGCTGAATTGACAGCGTCATGCAGCAATCCGAGAGACCAGCCATCATACAGCGCGTGAGCGATTGACAGGATCTGGTATGTGCGTCCTGGCATCTCCAAGAGAGTGATCTTGATAGGCGGTTCTAGAGCCTTCGAGTGTACCACCACGCGACGTAGACGCTCGAAGATAGCAGGAAAGTCGGGTTGTCTGGTACTGTCATGTTGTTGTCGCTCTACCGGCTTGAAGAACCCCTCCTTCACGACAACTTGGGCGTATGCAGCGTCGAGCTTTGGATCTTCCACTTCAACAAATGCTGTACGTAAGATCGGTGTTGACGCAATGACTGTACGCCATGCGTTGCACAGTCTGTCGATGTCAGTGTCTGCAGCCAGTTCTGCAACGTCAAAATTGAAGTATCTCGTGTAGTCCGAGTCAATCATCTCGGCCACCATAGCCTCTTGTAGCGGCGTAAGAGGCAGAATATTCTCGACTATGCTCATATCCACTTCCTGGGATTGAATACAATTTCGCAGCTCATTCTTGTGGCGAGCTAACACGTCTTTCACCTGAGATTCAGTGCCGTTGACATGTGTTGCTTTTATATTGTTGACCATGCTCTGCACCGTGAGACCTCGCATGATGCCACTGACTGGTAGATAAAGGCCGCGTTTCTTGAGCCTCGATGACAACTTGATGGCGTCGATGCTGTCTAGCCCCAGTTCGAAAATCGACGTCGTCTCGTTGACCTTTTGCATCTCGACATCTGCCAGGTTGGCGATGGCTTCTCTGATCGCGATGGCATCGTCTGTCCAGTCGAAAACCTGTGTGCCATGAATTTCGCTCGTGACCTCGTACAAGGCCGCCAAGTCTTCAGTATTGTTTTCATCAATGGTGATCGACGTCTCCACGACGGCTGTGGGACCCGCCAATGCATCCTCAAGCGCCTTCTCGAACCGATTGAGGAGCTTAGTCAAAGTTTTCTCGTTCGAGATGCGACCTTCAGCGACTAAGGTCAACGAGAATTTGTCGCGGCTTCTCTGCTCAATTTCAATCGCCAAGGGATAGTCCGCAATCGCTTCACCATCGCGCAATGCCCATGCTTTATTCCTTCGCCACTGGCTCTGGTCGATCTGTGACACATGGTACACGAAAAGAGTTTCGAAGAGTGGGTGGTTAGGGCTTCTCTTACACCACTTCATAATGTCGCTCAATGGTGTATGTTGATACGGCAGAGCTGCCGTGTTGAAGTCATGTGCCCTTGAGATGAGCGAAGCCCAGTTATCACCGATTTGCGTACGCTGCGAGAACGGTATGGTGTTGAACATTGGGCCGATGACCTGATCAGCGTGCTCAAGTTCAATACTTCGGCCAGACACTACCATGCCCAAAGTGATTGGAACTCCGACGTACTCCTGAAGCACGTGCATCCAGCAAGCTTGAGATATTGCTTGGGCTGTGACATTTAGCTTCCTCCTGATCGAATCATAATCTGGGTTCAAATCGAGATCTCGTGTGACCACAACGGTGCCCTGAATCGGTTCCTTGGTGAGCGATGAGAGCGGTCGTGATGCAGAATTTGTCAAGTGGCTCTGCCAGAATTTACTTGCGCCTTTCACGATGCGCAAAGGACCATACGGGAGAGCGTCGTGAAAGGTCGGAACTTGGATGTCATCCGCTTTCTCGCTTGCATATCTTCTTCGAACTTCTTCAAACAGCAGTTCAATGCTGTTTCCATCATACAGCCCATGAAAGATGTGTACGACCAATAATTGCTCCTCTGTTGTACTGATCACATGGACTTCGAACGGGCTTCTCAGCTCAGCGAGATTCGATGCAAGCCAGGATTTCCGAGCCTCATTTATTTGGTTTGCCGTGGACGGGTGCTCAGTAAAATGTTGGTACCAGGGCAATGGTGTCTTTCGAAGGACAGCTTGCACATAGCCGTCCTCGGTGTTCACAAAGGTTGTGCGCAAGATCTGCGTGCTTTGGAAGACTCCGTCCCAGGCTTCGCGCAAACGGGAGACATCAGCAGCCAGACTGAGCTCAAAAGTGAATGCGTTGAAGTACAGACCGTCTTCACTGTCCAGGTATCGTGCTATCATACCCTGCTGAAGTGGAGTGCAGGGTGCGAGCGCTTCAATGGCTTGCGAGTCTACTCCAAGCGAGTGAGCGACGATGCGTCGGTAGCGGTGCTGAGTAGCAGAGATTGCCTGTTGCGCACTAAGGAGAGAAACATCGTGCTCTTCACTTGAATCAGAGCTGGATAGTACCTTAGCTAGTCGACCAATGCTGGCGTGCTTCAGAATTGTGATAGCACTAGCTTTGACGAAGCCGGCGTCTTTGAGGGCTCGTGAGACTCCGATGACAGAGATTGAATCCATACCGAGCTCATAGAAGCTGGAATTCTTGTCGATAGCGTCTTCTCTAACGCCCAGAGCTTGTGAGAAGACTCGGCGGAGCAGACCTTCCTGCTTTGTCCAGGATTGTGTTTCAACTGGAACGGTGGAAAGCTTTTGCAAGTCGCTGCTGCTTAACGACTCAAAAATCTGCTTCAATTGCTTTCCATCGGCCTTGTTATTGATGTTAAGAGGCATTGATGCCAATGGAACGAAATGCGTTGGGATCATGTAAGGCGGGAGCTTGTTGTGGCAGGCGTCTCTTGCTTCACCCAGTCTCGCGCCCTCGAGAGATAGCACACTGACTTCGCAAGGAGACCGGTTGCCAATGACCACAAAAGATATAAGTTGCTCCTTTTGATGATGTGGATGCTTGAGTACCAGAGTGGCTACGTCTGTGAAGTCCTTCCTCGACTGTCTGATGACAGAGTTGATCTCGCCGATCTCGAGTCGCTGACCGCGCAGTTTGACTTGATCGTCGGCGCGGCCGAGGAAATCGAAGGTACCATCGTGTAGAACTCTGACCAGGTCTCCTGTACGGTACACACGTTCGTCGAAGCGACTCAGATGAGCAAATCGCTCTTTGGTCAGCTCCGGACGGTTCAGGTAGCCTCTGCCTACAAGCTTACCAGAGACGCAAAGCTCACCTACTCCACCTCGTAACACTGGAACATCGGTACCAGGTTGGAGAACGTAAGACCCAACGTTGTCAAATTGAGGTCCGATGTTGGAGGGCTTGCCGTTGGCTGGTACTCGCGGATACATCGTGCAGCCAATAGTTGCTTCGGTCGGGCCATAACCGTTGTAGATCACGCCCTTTGGGCCCCAGACGTCAAGGATCTCCTGTTTCAAGCTTTCGCCTCCAGTAATGAAGACACCTTTGCAAAGGCTTGGCACATCATCTGGATGTAGTATTTGGGCCAGACTTGGTGTGAGATCGATGTGCGTGATATTGAGGGTTCTGACCGAGTTTGCAATGTCCTCAAATATGAGATCCCGGGGCGCTGACACCACACATATCCCGACCGACCAGCTCCAGTATTGCTCGAGCACGGAGACGTCGAAATGAAAAGACGCAAACTGTAACCAGCGCGACGTTCCGTCCCAGTGGCCAGCGAAGAGTCGTTGGAAGGCGATCAATGCCTGTACAGCATTCTCATGAGTCAGCTCGCAACCCTTGGGTGTACCAGTAGTGCCACTTGTATAAAGGCAGTAGCTGCGATCTTGAGGTTCTACAGCTCGGGATAGCTGGGGGCGCACGGTGGAAAGGTGGCGTGTAGTGACCGTATCAAGGTTAAGCACAGGGACCTTGATGCTCTCTTTGAACTTCGCAGACTGTGCAGCCATTGATAACACAACTTGAGCTCCAGAATCTTCTACAATAAAGGCCTGACGAGCACTCGGTGCGCTCGGATCGATAGCAACAAATGCACATCCAGCCTTCAATATGCCCAGCATGGCAAATGAGGCTTCAGGACACTTGTCGAAGCACACACCAACAAGGCCGCCTTGTTGCACGTTGTACGTAAGCAGTAAATGTGCAATTCTGTTGCCTTCCGCATCGACCTCTTGGTACGTCCACGGCGTGCTGACGAGTTTCTCGTCATGAATAGAGCTTGCGAACTCAAAAGCGGTACGATCGGGGTGTGTATCGGCGGTGATCTCAACAAGTTCGTGCAGCAACTTGGCCTCAGATGGCAGTGATGATTCCTTGGCGGGTGTAATGGAATACAGAGACTGGCTCACGATGGTCTCATGCTCTGAAGCGTCGTTTGCTTTGAGAAACCCCTTCATGACATGATCCAGCTGTTCAAGGATGAGTCCTGCCTGTTCCGATGGAATGATGTGCGGGAGATAGGTCAGTCGATACTCTAGGATCTCGTGCCTCAGCTCAAGCTCAATCGAGATAGGATGTTCCGTTGTTGCACTCTCCTTCACGATAGTCCACAACTCGTTCTGCTGGCTTCGTCCTGACGTTTTCTGAAGAGCGAATAACGAATCGAACAAGGGCTCGTTAGGTGAACCCATCAATCGTTGGATCTTGTTGAGTGGCGTGAACTGGTGCTGATGCATTTCTGCATTGAGCGCAGTGACAGATTTCAGAGTGCCCGATCGATCGCTCGTGACGGCGCACGGAAATGGTACAGTGTTGATGCATGGGAAAACGGCGTCGTCGGATGCATCTGAAAGGCGACCAGATAGCACCACACCAATGGTCACATTAGGCTCTCCTGTGTATGCGGCTAGTATAGATGACCAGCTAGCAATTCCAGCAGCTTGGAGTGTAGTGTTGGCCACACGACAGCCATTCTCGATCTGAGTGATAGACATCGACGAGAGTCGGGTAAGTACTGCCGGGAGCATTGGTTCGTATCTGAGAGGTGCCATGTTCGGGAAACGAGACGGAACCGTCTTGCACTTTAAACCAGACCAGAATTGCTCTGTCTGCGTGCTCTGTGAATTCGTGAGCTGTAAGATCTCACCGAGCGCTGGTTCGAGCGATGCCTTTTTCGTTCTGTCCTGGTTGTTGTAGAAGGCCAGCACGTCATCAAAGACGACCTGCAAGCTTTGCGCGTCGAACAGAGCATGGAACATGCAGATATCAAGGAAGATATTCTCATTATGAGTGATGATATGGAGGTCCCACATCGGTTGATGGAGCTTGGCCAAAGCCTCCTGTTGTAACTGACCGAGTCTTCTTGCAGCCACTTTGGGATCAGGGTCAGATCCCTCCGACCAGGGTATGGTAAGTGAGTCCGACGTATACTGAACCATTGCGAAAGAACAGTCTCTGTCTTTGACCTGAGCAAAACCTGTTCGGAGTATGGCATGACGCGCGATTGTTTTCGCCCAAGCACCCTCCAGCCTCTGAACGTCTATACCTGGCTCATTCAGCTTGAGTCGGAGGTAGTTGTAGTATAACGATCCGTTCGTGACAAGGAACTGAGATACCATGCCCTGCTGGAGGGGTGTACAAGGACGAATGGCATCGATGCTCTGGCTATCCAAGCCACACTGTCTCAGGACCGCTGCTCTGTGCTTCCGGTCAAAGGCGTGAAAGTCAAATTGTTCGACAGACGGACTGGCAGTTTGTGGCCGGATCTCAAGGTTTTCAGCGAGATTAATGCAGCTATTAAATCGTAAGACCTCGGAAGCACTAGCTTCGTAGCCGTACCTCCGAAGGGCAGCGGAGATCTGGACCGCACTGATACTGTCAAGACCCAACTGGTAAATAGACGTTTCTGGGTAGATGTCTTCAACAGGTGTGTCCGATAGTCGACTCAAAACACCCCGAATATGAGTTTCAATACGGGTCCACTTGTGGTCGTTGTTCGGCCCCTCTGAGATACCATTTGTCGCCGTCGCAGACTTGAAGATTTCTGCTAATACTTTCTTGTCGATCTTGCCAGCCATTGACTTGGGTATTCTATCGACCAACAGATAGAATTGTGGAACCATGTATCCAGGGAGATGACTCTTTGCAGCTTTTATAGCTTCCTTGCGAAGGTCGGATTCGTCGTCATCCTCGAGAGTATGGCCAGTGGCAAGAAAAGCGACCAACTGCTCCTTGGCTGCCGCATCTTTCTTCAAAATCTGCACAACGGCAGACTTTATACGCATGTCGCAACGTTGCAGCACCTGACTGATCTCGCCGAGCTCGACTCTTAGCCCTCTGATCTTGACCTGGTCATCTGTACGCCCAATGAACTCGAAGGTACCATCTGTAAGCATGCGCACCACGTCACCAGTCTTATAGAACCGCTGACCGCAGCGAGTGTTGAAGCGCTCAGCTGTGAGCTCAGGTCGACCAAGATAGCCTCGAGCTAATTGCGCACCTCCAATGTACAGCTCGCCAACGCTGAGCTTAGGTAATGGCTGCTCGCCTTGGGTCGAGAACACGGCAAAGGACGTGCTTGGATACGGCTGACCGATGACTGAGGTCTTGATGTCATTCGACACAGGAAACATGGTTGTGCAAAACGCAGCTTCCGTGGGCCCATAGGAGTTGACACAGGCGCCACTCCATTCCTTGGCAACTTCTCCGGACATAGCTTCGCCAATGCAGTATAGCCACTGCACACTGGGTACCTGGGCTCGTGACAGCGATAATGCGACAGAAGGAGTGAGATCAAGTAGTGTAACATCGAGCTCATTGACGACATGCAACAAGTTGTCGAACATGACGTGTTGTTCTGCTGCGCAAAGAGTGAAGCCGAATGTCCAGGCCATGAAACAATCGTAGTAGCACATATCGAACGTGATGGCCGCATACTGCAGGATCCTAGAAGAGGAGGTCCACGGCACCAACGATCTAGAGCTCTCTAGGGTCTGAATTGGTGATTGATGCTCCATGCTGACTGCCTTCGGGACACCAGTCGAGCCGCTGGTGTAGAGGCAGTAAGCCAGATTTGAGCCAACAAGCCCTTCGACGTGCGGGTCCTCGCACGAGTCCAAACTTGGTTTCTCGAGGTCTGCAACATTAAGAGGTATTATTGACATTTGTCTGGAACACACGGGTAAAAACTCTGTGTATAGCACGACCTTGGGATTGAGTTCCTGTAGCATAAGCTTCTTACGGGCTTCCGGCAGGTCGGGATGAACCGGCGCAAATGCTGCGCCAGCTTTGAGGACACCGAGGATACTCGCGTAGTATATAGGGGACTTTGGCATGTGGAGAGGGACAATATCCTCCAATCCAACTCCACGATGCATGAGCCTATACGCTACACCATTGGCTATCAGGTTGAGCTCGTGATATGACCAGTGTGTTCGTCTTCCATCTGCGTGCAGGAAGTCCAGGGCAATATTGTCACGCCTTCGAGAGAACGCGTTCTGCTCGAAGCCTTTGTGCAGCAGGTTCGATGTGTCTACGTCCGTCCTAGCACCATTGCAGAGAGGCATGGTGTCTGGCTGCAGTCGTGTAAAACCCATGTTCGACTCGGCCCTCAAAGACTCAGGCATGCCAATAGGATTATTGGCTGCAGCATCGTAGTGCTGAGTCAGGGCCCAGAGACTGTTGTCAAACGTCCGAGCCACAACTTGGGCGTCTCTTTCAGACATCAAGCTGGTGTTGTAGTGCAGAGTGAGCTTTATCCGGTCAAGTTTTTCGTCTTGGTGAATTTCGCACACTACTGGCAGGTCCATCTCGCCCATATCGTCTACCAGGGTCCAGATACTGTCGTTGAGCGGCTTGGTTGGTTGTTGAAGTATGACTAAAGTGTCAAAAAGGCGACCCCCGTCCTTGAGTGCAGCGCCTTGAATACGCCGGAGGGCTGTCAATTGATAAGCAAGCGATTCCACGTTCGAATTGTGCAACAGTTGAACCAGTCCCAAATTTGAACTCGAGAAGTCGAAATGAGCTCGAACAGGTAGCGTGTTGAAACACGGTGCTACAAGCTGATCCATTCCCTCTTCCGAAAGTGTACGGCCGCTGACGACGTTGCCGAAGCACAGATCGTGCTCACCGGTATAGTAATGCAAAAGTTTGGCCCATGCAGCTTGCACCATCGAAAGAACAGACACGGAAGTATGTCGGGAGGCAGTGCGCAGCTCATTCAACGGCAGCTGTAGGTTGTGCGTCGTAGATTTGGAGACACCAGGTTCCTTATGAACTCTTCCAGTCAGGTCTGGGAAGTACGTTGGCTCGAAGTTCGTGAACCGACTTGACCAGAACTTGTCGGCATCTGCTGAATTTTGAGAAACAATATGCTGCAGGTAACGATCGTACGAGATCGTAGAAGGTAGCGATTGGCCAAGGTAAGCAAGTTGAACCTCGTGCAATAAATTTTCGATGGCGATACCATCGTAAAGTGCATGATGGCAGCTGAAGATAAGATTGGTGGACAAGTCTGCTTCGTAGATTGCCAGACACAGAGGTGGCCTGTGCGACACGAGGAGATCAGCGAGGACGGTATCCATATGGGACTGGACATCTCTGAGCGTCTCCAGCTGATCCCAACGGAGTTCTGGATCTCTGAGCACGACTTGCGCAAAAGCAAAGGTGGCATGATCCGACGGCGTAAACGCAGTCCGCAAGATCTCGTGCCGGCTCTGTGCAAGCTTCCAACTTGCTTGAAGACGCAAAACATCTCCAGTGACGTTGAAGATCATGGTGTTGCTGTATGTTCCCTTAGATGACATACTACTCGCCAGCATAGCTTCCTGCAAAGGTGTGCAAGGATTAATCTTCTCCACTCCGAGGCCTGTCTCACTGAATATTGACAGGATTTGCGACTTCTCCTCTACAAAGACGCTCTCGAGGTTCTCTTCCGCTGTTCTCTGTGTCGACTTTGACGGATGACGGTCCACTCGCATATCATCTAGGTACGCAATGGTCGGGTTCTTGAGCACCTCGGCAACGGTAAAGTCACCTAGGTCAGATCGCCTGAGATGGTGGCAGAACCGTATGGCGGATATAGAGTCCAGACCAAGGTTAAAAAAAGACGAAGTCTGTCGGATACCTTCCACCTTGATCTCGAGTACCTTTGCGAGGACCTCTGCGACACTCTTCTGCCAAGTTGAGGGAGAAGTAGTTGTACCATTGGCATCACCATTGGTCTCACCATTGGTCGTGTGCGCAGGCGCAGCTCGCGTAAGATCGTCGTCGCTGAGGTTGGCGAAGGTTGCTTGAAGCAATCGCTTGTCAATCTTGGCTTGCGCGGTCATAGGAAGCCGACTTATAGGGATGAGATATGACGGGACCATGTACACCGGTAGCAGTCGTCGGAGAGACCCAAAGATGCGCTGTACAGCGGGCTTGAAGGAACTGGAGTCTAGAGTCGCGAATCGCTCATGTATGCCGCTCTGCGGCACCCAGAACGCCAGTAAGACCTTCACATGATTCGGTGTCGAAAGAAGTAGAGTGATGCAGTCGGTCACAGCGCTATCGTCCAAAATGATCGACGTGATCTCTCCGAGCTCAACCCGCTGTCCCCGTATCTTTACTTGGTCGTCAGAACGGCCAGCGGAAAGTATGCAGTCATCCGGAAGGAGTCGTCCCATATCCCCAGATCGGTAGACTCTGCCGTATGGTGCGATCTCTATAAGCTTGGCGGCATTGAGCTCTGGCCGATTAAGGTAGCCTCGGAAGACTTGTTCGCCTCCGAAACACAACTCACCCACAGCTCCTCGAGGCAAAATCGTGTTGCTGTCAGGATCAAGTACGAATGCTGACGTGTTGTCGAACGGCGAACCGATGTTATTGATCAAGTCTGTAGAGGTCACCGAGGGACGCACAGTACAAATGTTGGTAGTCTCAGAAGGACCGTACCCTGCAAAGTTCTTAGTCTCGACTAGCGTTGCCTCCGAAAGTGTATCTTTGCTTACCTTGATACAGGCCTCGACCAGCCCACTGCCGTCGGACATGCTCTGTCAAAGCCTCGCCTGCAGTCACAAGGAGCTTGACACCGGGTACGTTGTCTGGATCAACTAAGGCAGCGACTGTAGGCGTGAGACTAAGGTGTGTAGCCTTCAGGCTGTTGATAGAGGCTTCGAAGTCGCGAAACATGTCTTCTTTTGCGGCTGTGCACAAAGTCATGCCCACATGCCACGCATAGAAGATCTCAAAAACGGACACGTCGAAGGCTTGTGAACATGATTGCAGCATCCTTGAATTCTTGGAAGCTGGGTAGAGACCAGCAAGGAATTTCAAGTTGCTCATCAAGTTCCTTTGCGTTACAAGGACGCCTTTTGGTGTACCAGTGCTTCCACTGGTGAATACAGCGTAAGCAATATGTGAGCCATTGTACAATGTGTCGAGATTGTGCCTGGGCAATGTGGACAAGTCTGTCGCGCAAAGGTCGATGATGGTACTGGAGAAGACTTGTTGCAGGATCTCTGAACTGTTCGAGTCACCGAGACAAACCATGACCTGAGCATCCTTGAGAATGGCATCGACCCTCTCGACAGGCGTGTCAGGCACAAGCGGCAGGTATCCAGATCCAAGCTTTAGTACTGCCAGAATAGCCACATACAGATCCACTGACTTCTCCATCATGATACAGACAAGACGGTCCTGGCCAACTCCATGCTTTGACAGAAGGTGGGCAAGTTGGTTCGCTCGCTGGTTCAGGTCAGAGTAGGTTAGAGTGTTCCTGACTATCATGGCACCGCCATGAACTTGCCCGAATATGATGGCCTCTTTGTCGGGAACAACCTCCGCCCATGTCTCCACTGCGTGCGAGAGACTGATGTTGTCGCTGTTGCGGCGGTAGTCGGCGTTAGCAACTGAGAGACTTGTCTGGGTAAAACAGCGCCCAATGTCAGCTACAGTACAGCTCACGTCACCCAAGAGCTTCTCGACCACCTCGTCAATTTGCTGTGCCAGGTGCACAATCTGCTCTCGAGGTATCGAAGATGGGTCGAACGTAGCGCGGAAAGCTATGAACCCGTCCCGAGGTTCGAACTCGAGGGTCAGCTTGAATTCAAGCTCATCTGCACCATCGATAATTTTCACAGCTGGAAAAGAACTGATCTCTGAAACTAATGACTGTTGCCACACAAAGAGCGTGTCGAACAATCTTGTGCCGGGTTGAACATTGGCCGCTCTCGCTATATCTCGCAACGGCAGTGCACAATGATGCAAGCCTTCACGATTCAAGCGTTGGACCTGTTCCAATACCTCTTGCACGCAAGAATATGCTCGGAAGTCTAAACGACATGGCAGTGAGGCTATGCAAGGACCCATTATGTCCTCTATGCCTGTAACGGGAATCGTTCTTCCAGAAGTAATGTTGCCAAAGATCACGTCTGGCGAGCCTGTATAAAGACTGAGAATATAGCCAACCGCAGCCTGGAAGAAGACCTGAGGATTGATGGCCAGACTGCGCGCTCGGTCGGATAGATGTCCGAGGTCAACTGAAGAGCGCGCCCGGTATGACTGAGTACTTTCTGCTGTCTTCGTCTCGCCATTGTAATTGACAAGACTTGTCGGCACGTAGTCTCGAAGAAGTTTTGCCCAGTATCTTGTATTTTCGGCGGGCGCTGATGTTTGCTGTCGCTCAATATAGTATTGACTGACGTCTTCAAATTGAGGTCGCGTTGTTGGCCCGGATCCCCGCAAGATCTTGTTAAAATCTGCCAACAGTAGGTCGAGGGACCACCCGTCGTAGAGTGCGTGGTGCAATTGCACAAGTATGCGCTGTCCATCCGACCGAGTCTGTACCTGAACTCTGAACGGTCGTAGTAAAGCGTGTGACGTATCGAGGCTGTAGGATCTCTGGAAATTTGAAACAATGCCAAATTGTGCTTGGTCTAATTCCCTCCAGGTGATCTGTACAAAGGCTTGCGTATTAGCTGTGGAAGAACAAAATCCGGACCGTAGAATGCGGTTGTGTTTGGCGAGTTGTGCTATCGCACCGAAGAGCTCATCATGCGATCGGATCACAGTGAGCTCCAGCTCAACCCAATTGCAGTATGCGCTTGGTCGGGAGAGAGTCTCGGTTAGCATTGCCTCTTGCAGTGGTGTGCATGGCAATATCACATCAATGTCTGACTCCTCGAACGCGGGCCCAATAGTTGAATTGTCAATATCGTCAAGCGATAATCGGCTTGTCGAGTTCGCGTGTTCGTTGAGGACAAGGTTCTGCTTGCAGGCTGTTATAAGATCTTGCAGAGTTCGCACAGACAGCAAAGCCACCGCGCTAACATCATAGCCTTGCGCTCGAAGAGAGGAAGCGACGCGAATCGCTCGCAGCGAGTCCAGTCCGGCTGCAGCGAGATTTGACTCCAAAGAAAGCCCCTGACCTAAAACCTTCTCAGCCAGATGTAGAACGGCTAGTGCCTCTGGGTCATCTGTCGGTATGTCATGCCCTTGTCGCTGAAGTGAATCCAGGTACCGCTTTTCGAGTGCTTGTCTGTCGATCTTCCCAGACGGAAGCTGGGGCATGCTGGATACTACCAGCACGTCCGATGGAATCATGAAGCTGGGTAGCCACTTTTTACAGATCTCGAGTACCTCTGTACGTGACGTTGTCTGCGAACTACTCGCGCAAAAGGCCACCAGGGTGTCTTTAATGATTGTTGCAACCGCCACACGACACCCTTTGACCTTCATAACGACCTGCTCAATTTCGCCAAGTTCAACTCGCTGGCCTCTGAGCTTTACTTGACCACTAAACATTCGGCCAAGACACTCGATCGCTCCATCCTTATGGAACTTCGCACGATCCCCGGTGCGATACAAGCGACCGAACTTGGGGTGGTCAATGAAGGCTGCCGCCGTAAGTTCAGGTCTGTTGAGATATCCTTCCGCTATCTGATAACCTCCAAGGGCAAGTTCGCCTGACTCGCCCCATGGTAGAATCAACGCACCCGCACCTTCTGATGCATCTTGAGACGGAGCGAGTATGAACGTCGAAACTGTATCTAGAGGATATCCGATGTTTCCAGTCGAAGAGTGGGCGCTGAAACGGGCTTGCAGCGTGCAATGGATCGCAGTCTCCGTGGGACCATACATAGCCCACAGTATGCCTTTTCGCATAGTACTGTCGCCGAATTCGCTTACGACGTGTTGTGTGAGCATTTCACCGATAGTGAGTAACAGTGTCAACCCAGGTACGCTTGCTCGTCCTTGCAACAGGTTCCCCACGACCGTAGGTGTGAGCTCGGCTGCATCGGCTTCAAGTATCTTGATGACGCCTGGTAGATTCTCAAGCATCCGCGCTCGGGATGAGCTAACCAAGGTCCGCCCCCTGAACCACGGAAAGAAGATCTCGAATATCGACACATCGAATGTAGGAGCGGCAAATTGTAGGAAACGGGTAAATCCAGGGAGGTGACGATCGTGGGCCAGTAGACTTTGTGTAACGGCACGATGAGACACGCTCACAGCTTTTGGAAGCCCAGTAGAACCGCTGGTGTACAAAACGTATGCGAGGTCGGTGCTGCTCGTTTGCGGTGAAGCTGTAACAGCCTTCTCCTCACCCTGCCGCAACTCTTGATCCACGCAGATCAAACCCACTTTACCAATCGAGCTCAATCTATTTGAAAGGCCCGTGGTCGTTATGAGAAGATTTGCAGCAACATCTGACAGAATGAACTTCAACCTCTCATCCGGGACGTCGAGATTAAGAGGACAGAAGGCTTTGCCAGCCTTCAGAACTGCCAATAGCGCAATGTATAGCTCTGGACATTGAGGCAGCAGAACTGGGATGACAGCTGACGCATTTTCCATCGTTGCAGTCAATTCGATGATTCGTTGCGCCAAGATGTCGCTCAGTGCGTGCAATGTGTGATAGGAGAACTTCCGCATCTTGGTTCCATATTCCAGGAATTCGATGGCAGACACATTTGAGGATCGAGGTACCAATTCGTGTAGTAGTGTCGGCCCTTCGAGGAAATTCGGCGGCTCATTCAGTATCGAGAGACGTTGTACGTGGTGTTGGACCATTTTGCTGGGTCCGTATTAGGTAAGCTTGGACCGCACGAGTGATCAGTTTGCTCAAGCTGAGTATAGTTTTTGCTTCCCCACAACAAATAGAAAAGACACGCTGAGTTACGAGGAGATAGCAAAAGGACGTCTCTGTTGCCTGTTCTCGGTGATTTGTAAATAATGGCCCTGATGGGTGCGGAATCGTGATGAGAAACTGCAGGCCACTGATTGGACGGAGGGCGTGGAGTACTTTCTGTCGAATATATACGAGGCTGTGGCGCATGTGGAATCGCGAGTCTGCCACCTTTTCGTAGCGCTTCGAAGCTTGCCTACGGGCTGTGCAGTTCCAGGGACATGCAAGGAGCAGGCAATGTGCCCCAAGTGTGATAACAGCAGAGGCCGGTGAGCGTAGCATCGAGCGTCAGGCAGGTGGGTCCAAACCACAAACACAAGCTGCTCAGCTTGAATGCTTGTTTGAAGGCTCGCTGGAATTCAGCGCTGTGTTTGCTGCGCTGTTCTCTCTGTTTTGATTGTGAGCGTAGCGGCGTCATACATTTTGAAGGATTGACAGATCTGATAGCTAGGATCAGCAGGAACGGCAGGCAGCACTTCACTAGCGAATAAGGCGATGGAAGCGCCCAAGCAAGAAAAAATCGAGGAAAGAGAACGCGACGGAGTCCGACAGATCCACAGTTGTTCATTAGCTTCTGCCCAAGGTGGTGGGCGGACTGGCAGGTGGATGAGCATGCCTCCAATGACGTGCCGGCGTCTCTCCCAATGCATCATGCTGGCCCCACGCCACAAGAACTTGTTTGTCACGCTGCGCACACGTCGTGATCGTTTGTTGAAGAGTTGGAGCGTGGGCCGGCTTCGGATAAGCCTCTTCAGGGGTGAGAGAAGGAAGCTAACGCGTGAGCCTTGAGAGATGGGTACGAATCTAGACGAGCTGCCGAGCCACCCGCAGCTCACCCACAGGACTTTTCATCTGATAATGCACGAAGGTAAAAGCCGGTCCGTTGTACCCGATCAGATAACCTTAAATATGCGTTCCCGCTGACATTGCATTTGCAATCCAGACCTGTGGCTTCCCTTTTGCGTTCTACAGCGCTTCATAGCGATTAGTACTAGAGGGCTGTTCATGATGTATAGCAGGATCGTAGCCTTTCGAAGCGTTCTGCATTGCGACATTTGGTCCTCTGTTTGTGTGTTCCAACGGGGATTAGTCAGGAACACACGGGCGCTAGCGCTTCTATGATTGCGAGATCCTTCGAGCATAGACATTATTGACACGCGACGAGACCACCTCGATGTTACCACCTTCATGTCACCAGCTTCATAACACCTGGCATCTGCATGCCCGCCGCTCATTAATCAGCAGACCGATGGAATTCTGACAAACATGCCTCATTCCCGAAAGAGCTCGAAAGTGGCTATCCGCGCGCGAACACGTGCAGATGAAGACGGAGCAGCCACACCTCTCCTCAGCGAGTCCGACTCTGATGACTTCAACATCGACGCTAGAGCCTCCATACGTCACAGCGTGCAGTGGGACCGACATGCGGAACCCTCGCTCGGCGCAGTACAACCTGAGGCCTGGGTGGACATCACCGCCATACGTCACAAGTTCATTCGCCAAATCCTGGGGTTGAACCCCTTCAAAACCTCATACTTCGCGCTATACAGGCCTTTGGATGATCTTGGTTCAAGGCTTGTACTTATCTCGGGCGTTGTTCTGGCAATCCTAGCAGGTCTACCCATTCCGTTCATTGGTGTAATCCTCGGCAGGATCATCAACAACTTCCCTCCGCCTGAAGATGAGCTTCGAACACTATTGGGCTATCTTATGATAGTTGCGGCGTGCTACTTCGTGGTTACCTGGGGCTGGGCTGTTGCATGGGCGGTCATTGGCGAACGAGTGTCGCGCAAGACGCGGGAGCAGCTCTTGCACCGCGCACTGGGGATGGACATGACCTACTTCGATACTGCATCACTCGACATGACGAGTATTCTCACTGAGAAGACACAAACAATACAGCTTGGTACTTCTGAGAAAGTCGGCTTGTTTCTTGCTTCAATCTCGTACTTCGTGGCTGCATTCTTCGTTGGCTTCACCCTGAACGCAAGGCTCACAGGTGTCATGTACGTATGCTCTCCTGAGTCGTTCGAGCCGACAAGGACACTGAACTAGTCATCTACGCTAACATCTCGCAAAGGTTTGTCACCGTCATTCCCACTATGGCATGTGTCGTCATATTCGGTACTAAGTACGTCGCCAAGTTTACTAAGCAAGCTTCAGCATATACAGAAAAAGCAGCTTCATTGGCAGAGAGCGCTATTCGAGCGGTGCAGATTGTGCAGGCTTTCGGACTTCAGGAGAAGCTAAGCGACGAGCATGTCCACCACCTTGGAGCTGCATTACGGGCTGGTATCAAGAAAAGCGTAGCGGGAGCGATAATGCTTGGCTCTGTCTATTTTGTTGCATACGCTGCAAACGCACTGGCTTTCTGGTACGGCGATCACTTGCGGGACGGTCGTGCTGAGGCTGGAACCATCTATGCCGTTGTATTTCTCATTTTGGATGCGTCCTTCGTCGTGGGAAGATTTGGTCCTTTCATCCAAACATTCGCAATGGCAGCCGCTGCAGGACAGGCTGTTCACGAGGTTCTCGATCACCCACTGTCAGACATCGACGTCTACAACAGCGAGGGGGAGAAGGCTGACAAGGCTCACTTCGCCAAAGACATAAAGTTCTCCGCGGTCTCATTTGTCTATCCAGCTAGGCCGACAGTCCGAATTCTAGACGCAGTCGATCTGAACATCGCTCCAGGAAAGGTTACAGGTCTTGTAGGCCCCTCGGGGTCAGGAAAGTCCACTATCACATCGCTATTGCTTCGGCTTTATGACCCGACTTTGGGCACCGTTACAATTGGCGATCGTGACATCAAATCTTTCAACATTCGAAGCATGCGATCACATATCGCTCTCGTCACGCAGAACCCGGTCCTCTTCACGGGAACTATATACGAGAATATCAAACATGGACTGCCACACGGAGAAGGCATGTCTGAGGACGAGACTTTCGCAAGATGTACGGCTGCGGCTAAGGAAGCCCACTGTGAGTTCTTGGAACGTCTGCCTGACGGCATGCATACAGAGATTGGCTCAGGCCCGCATTCACAGCTATCTGGAGGACAGAAGCAGCGCATCACCTTGGCCCGAGCTCTGGTCGGTCAGCCTTCGGTGCTGCTTCTCGATGAGTTCACCAGCGCAATGGATGCAACAAGCGAGGCCGTTGTACTGGAAAACCTCAGACGATCATCAGCCGCAGCTGGCCGAACAACTATCATTATTGCGCATAGGCTTGCGACCGTTCGAGATGCCGATCGTATTGTGGTGTTGAAGGATGGTGTCGTAGCCGAAGATGGTCAACATGAAACGTTGATCAAGACGAACGGCATCTACGCTGAGCTTATACAAGCCCAGCAATTCGAGAAGAAAGGACAGGCTTCGGTTGCATCATCGGTGTACTCGAGTCCCCGGTTTCCGCAGAAAGAGCACAGCCAACCAAGTACAGCATCCAACGATTCATCATCTGAGGCTACTACACTTATAGCGGAGAAGGCGAATAAGAGCGTACTTGAGCTCATACGCAGGTGTTTAACGCTGAGTCGATGTGAAATCCCAGCGATTGTTCTCGGGCTGGCTGCATCGATTTTGAGTGGGGGCGTCACGATCGGAGAGGCCTTCATCTTCGGAAACCTGGTGGAACTCCTCAATGATGCTTCCAAGACTGGTGAACTGGCCTCGAGGATCTCGTTCTTCTGCCTACTGTTCTTCCTCCTGTCTTTGGTCGCACTAATCTCGCATGGAGCTGGCGGTGCAGCTTTTGGACTAGTGTCCGAGAATCTCGTTCTCCGAGTACGAGATATCTCGTTCCGCACAATATTAAGGCAGGACATTTCTTGGTTCTCGAAGCCTGGGCATTCTCACCACGCATTGATGTCCAAGCTCAACATGGACAGTGGTTCTATCAGCGGCCTCTCCGGAGTCATCCTCGGTACGATCTTCTCCATCACGACTTCCGTGGTTGGTGGAACGATATTGGCCCATATTGTCGCCTGGAAGATTGCCATTGTCCTTCTTGCTGCTGTGCCAATTATGGTCTGCGCTGGCTTTGTCCGGCTCCGCATCTTGGCTCTTGCAGAAGAAAAGCACCAAAATGCTTATAATGACGCAGCGACGTTGGCTTCCGAAGCAACTGCTTCTATGCAGATCGTGGCAGCATTCGGTCTCGAAGATTACTTTCTTGGAGAATATCGAGAGGCCATCAGCGGCCCGTACGAAGAAAATCTGCGGTTTGCTCTGTTCGGCAATATTCTTCTTGCTTTCTCCCTGTCGGTGACGTACTATGTGTACTCGCTGGCTTATTGGTGGGGCTCGAAGCAGGTGCGAAACGGGAACTACAGTCAAAAGGATTTCTTTATTGTGCTACCCGCATTATTGTTCTCTGCTCAAGCTGCTGGCCAGCTGTTCAGTCTGGCACCTGAAGTCACTCGAGCAAAGACGGCTGCTCAAAGCGTCTTTGCTTTGCACGACGAACGACCCACCATTCTGACCGATGACAAGCCTTCACAAGTACTATCATCGCCAGAGGGCACTAGTGCCACAGTCTCGTTGCTATCCGGAACCTCAGCCAGCTACGGCACATTCGGCATGCGAGGAGAGCTCGAGTTTCGTGACGTAAGCCTACACTATGAGACTCGACCGAACGTTCCAGCATTGAAAAACGTTTCTTTCCAAATCAGTCATGGCGAGTACGCAGCATTTGTAGGAAGATCTGGCGCCGGAAAGTCGAGCACTATCCATCTTATCGAGAGATTCTTTGACCCTACAGCGGGCCAGGTCTACTTGGACGGGCGAGATATACGCCATGAACCCGTACAGACTCATCGAGCCCGATTGGCGTTGGTGGAGCAGGAGCCTGACCTGTTCCCTGGAAGCGTCAAGTTCAACATTGGACTCGGCAGAAGACCTGGGGCCGAGGTTAGCGACGAAGATATCATGGCTGTGGCCAAGAAGTGTGAACTTCATGATTTCATCATGAGTCTGCCAGAAGGCTACAACACCGAGGTTGGTGCTCATGGCTCGAAGCTGTCCGGCGGTCAGCGACAGAGGCTCGCTATTGCACGTGCCCTTTTAAGAGATCCAGAGATCCTTCTGCTCGATGAAGCAACATCTCAACTCGACGCGAACACCGAGAGAGAAATCCGAAGGACCATTGCGGCGGCATCGAAAGGTCGCACCACGATTATGATTGCTCACAGGTTGGCGAGCGTCCAGCATGCCGACAAGATCTTCGTATTCGATGCTGGCAGGATAGTCGAGCAAGGCCGACATGATGAGCTTGTCGCAGAAGGCGGGATATATGCTGGCATGGTTGCAGCACAAGAGTTGGACTGAGTCTCGTCTATAGCCACTGCCGTTCGTATTTTTTTAACCGTTCTCACAACTGTTGTACCACCAGCCGACTAATTATCTCGGCCTTGTTTCCGGTCTGCACACCTCGGCGGTCTTGTGCTCCTTCCACATCAAGCGCATGGTCCATTAGATCGGACGTCTTGTATACCACTCTCGCGTTATAACGCCACATAATACTGTGCAAAGCTTACGGATATACATAAGCACACGTAATGACCTGTGCAGGCATGCACAACTTTCCTGGGTGCATGTCACCAGCCCGCATTAACCCGACGCAGTTGTCAAATCTCGAAGTCAGAATTTGGGGAGTGCTCTCCAACGACGGCGAGCTACATGCACTAACGCCTCGCTCGTCATAGTCTGCATCATCGTCAGCCAGGATGATGTAGGTGTAAGGGATCTGCGGCTGCGGCGCAATAACCGATCTTGTCGTCAAGTCCGCCAGAACCCTGCACACGTAGGCTCTGGTGATGAAGCGTGCAGGAATCCCGAGCCCACTCCGATTTCCGGCTGTCGCTACGCAGAGACTTCATCAGATTAGATGAAGCGAATCAGATAACTTCCCCGCCAAGCTACCTGGTGCTCCGAGCCAGGCAATTCGGGTCAAGCGTTGCGGGGACCTTCAGAAAATTTTACCTGCACTATGACCGACAGCAGCAGTGCCAAGCCGCTTCCTGGCGGTTTTTCCCTCCGGAGCTGTTATCAGATCTGGCTCGAAGAATCTGATTAGATGGACGATCTCTTCCGGAGCCTTGATGCCTGCTCTCGATCAGTAACAGTGGATGGCATACGCCATCTCCATGGGCGGACAGGGTCTAATTACGAGCGCGCATCGAACCATTCTCTCATGAGCGTCGCAGGTGCCTCTTTCGACATGGGTTCCTCAGACGCAGGAGCGGAGCTTGGTTTCTTCTTGGTGCAGAAACAAAATAGTGGATGCCGTCGACGTTTTTCCTAATAACTTAGTGACGGGGCACTCCACGAACTGTCAGCCTGTTAGTTGTACCACCACAGATTGCTGCTTCTCTCTTATTCCAGTACCTGTCGTTGAGGGTGAGTATTTCACGTGTTCCTTCAGTCCCTTTCGTCGAGTCTGCCGTGAGGGTAGTGTAAGACGTCATTGGACCTCTAAGCACGCCGGTGGACCAGGCTGCAAACGAGCAGCCAGTTCCGTTTCACGTATTACTACGCCGGTGCATGTTGAAGAAGATGTATATTATTCACAACGAAAAAGAGGGAGCGCAGCAGCTTCAGGATCCTCCTATTTTCACCAGGAAATTTGCCGTATTGCGAAAGCTAAACTGACTGTTGGACCAGAACATTCATCTACTGAGCCCGGAATTTACCCGCATACACCATGAGCCCCCACGCCGAATTCCCCACCAGCTCGTCTGAAAACCCAGTCCCCCAGAGGGCTTTCGGAGGGTTCGCACAACTTGAGGAAAGCGACTTTCCAGCATTCGAAAACCGGTCCAACCTGCGTTACACCCCACAGGATGAGCTGCATGATTTGATATGCGTAGGGTTTGGACCTGCATCATTGGCTATTGGTGTTGCAATCCACGATGCGCTCGAAGGATCGGATCCTTCACTTGTAGATATCCCAGGGCTGGAAGGCCGAGCACCCAAGGTCGCCTTCCTGGAGAAGCAGGAAAGATTCGCATGGCACGCTGGCATGCTCTTGCCTGGTGCAAAGATGCAAATCACATTCATGAAGGACATGGCGACCATGAGGAATCCTCGCAGCGAGTTCACATTCATCAACTACCTGCACCAGAAGAACCGGTTGGTCGAGTTTGCCAACTTGAATACCTTCCTTCCCGCACGTGTTGAATACGAGGACTACATGAAATGGTGCGCCAGCTGGTTTGAGGAGGTCGTTTCGTACTCCCAGGAAGTTATTGCAGTCAACCCTCAAAGGTCTAGCAGCGGCGACATCTCAGTCTTTGAAGTCGTTTCGAAGAACCATCTAACCAACGAGATCGAGACAAGGAGAACGAGACATGTCGTCATCGCTGCAGGAGGGAGGCCAAACATCACTGCACCTTTCCCGCAGAACCACCCGAAGGTCGTTCACTCCTCGAAGTTCTCCTACATTTCAAAGCAGATTCTCAAGGACCACCAAGCGCCCTACAAGGTTGCAGTCGTTGGAAACGGCCAGAGTGCTGCTGAGATCTTCGACTTCCTGCACGCAAACTACCCTAACTCTCAGACACGGCTCTTGATCAAGGGCGGAGCGCTGCGACCCAGCGACGACTCGCCTTTGTACGTTGTTCTTCTCCTTTCACTCCAAATATCGAGAGCTAATTCATTCCAGTGTCAACGAGATATTCAACCCATCACGCACCGAAGTCACCTACAACCGCGATCCCGTCCTTCGCGCCCAGACCCTCACCGAGGATAAGGGCACGAATTACGGTGTCGTGCGCATCAACCTCTTGGAACACATCTACGAGACGCTCTACCTTCAGCGGATCAGGTACGGCAACTCGCGCGAGGCTGAGGAGCAATGGCCGCACAACATCCTGCCATACCGCAGGGTCACAGCTGTCGAGGACAGCCCTGTGGTCCAGAACGGCATCCGTCTGCACGTCCGCGATCAGAGCCCGCTGTACTTCAGCGAGGTCCCTGGCGCAAGCGAGGAGAAGCAGACCCTCGACGTTGATGCCGTATTCGTCGCTACTGGGTATCTGAGAAACTTGCACGAGACGTTGCTCAAGGACGCGAGACACCTCATGCCTGGAGGTGATCTGAAGGATGCGAAGTGGACAGTCGGAAGAGACTACAAGGTCAACTTTGAGAACAAGGCAGTCAGCGGCGATGCCGGCGTCTGGCTGCAAGGCTGCTGCGAGACAACCCACGGCGTAAGTACTTCCAATCCCTTTGATGCTTTACCTGCAGTTGCTAATATCGCGCAGTTGAGTGATACCCTCCTTTCTGTTCTTGCCTGCCGTGGAGGAGAAATGGCTAGGGCCATCTTCGAGAAGGCACCTAAGTGGGATAACTCAGATGTGCTGGGAGGGTTCCAGGCTCCCAAGCTCTGAATCACCACTCTGAAGACCACTGGAGTAAAGGCGTCTCTGGAACAGCGTTTCTTTCCTGGATAGAAATTTGTATGCCGTTGCAGCTGGCAGCGTTTTTTAGCCATCATATCCGCAATTGCACAATCTTCACCAGCTTTCGTGCTTGAGCCCTGGAGGCCCTGGCCCTCATTCCTGTGAGCTGACAGCCATGTAAGAACACGTCATTGCTCTCGTATCTTTCGCTGCCTGGAGGCTGCCAATGAAAGCTCTCCATTGCACGCAGAATCATCTCTTCACTCCTCGGAGACAGTCAAGGATGGCGCAAACGTCGAAATTGGACCCTCATTTCGCAGCTGCGTCGCTCTTTCCCGCTAGAGGTGGACAGCAACCCAACTGGGAAGAACGGATCGCAAAGCCACGCAACTGCCTTAGCCAAGCCCTGGCGAACGGCAGGAGCAGCCGGAGTAAGATAGCATTACCAATTGCAGGCTGCGCGAAGGCAAACGTCGAATATTAGCATGGCTGCCATGGCACATTATTGAAGCATGATGTGAGCGCCGTGAGCATGAAACGGGTGCAGGGTTGCGTCGCTGTGGAGAGAGCTGCGTCGATGGACTAGCCCAATCACACGAAAGTGCAGCCCAGTGAGCCAAAGATTCACGAACCCAACCTCCACGCTGACCAAAGCCTATCCTTTCACACTGCTCCCTGATATCTCCCCCTTCTCACACGTCGTTCGACGTCTGCCGCAGCATCTGTCTTGCCCGTCCCCCGCTGCTGCAACCGCGTGAAGCTGCGTTCGCGCCCAGCATCCCTCGTGGCTCGCACATCGATTAGCCCCCGCTGCGAGACCTGGACGTGCACCATCGCAGCCAGCCAGGCCCGTGTCGAATCCCACGGCCGCACGCCTGCGCGCATTCGTGCTCGCCCAAGCGTGCTGTCATCATCGCCGCGCTGCAGCGCAGTGCCCCGCCCAGGAGCTGCTTGGTATCGCGACACAGCATCGCAAGCCGGCATGCAACGGTCGGATTGACTGCGTCACAGCTGAAGCGGCTGCCATTCCTGCCTCCTGCGACCCTGCTCGCACCACCTACACCCTCGCGACCCGCACCCGCTCTGCGCCATGGATCAGCAGTGGGCTGCCTACTCCGAAGCGCCGGATGCCAGCCGCCAGGCGCGGTATGCTCCACATGGGACGACCCCCTCGCAGCACACGCAGCACACGCAGCACACGCAACCCACGCAACGCGACGCCAGCGCGTCCGCGCAACTTAAGCAGAACTCGTACGCCTCGCCCTCGGCACCCTCCCGCGCCGGCACCATTGCGCTGCAGTCTCCGAGCCAGAGCACCAGCCGTGGGCCCGACTTCAACGACAACGACGGCGACGTCAAGATGGAGGACGCCGACCCATACAAGCCCAAGTACAACACGCAGCGGCCGAACCACCAGCACCGCCACTCGCAGCAGTTCCTGCAGCAGGAGGAGAGCGCCGCCGCCCGCAGGTACTCGCCCATGAACATGTCGCCCACGTCGCCCTACCCCGGCGGCGCGCAGCACGGCGGGCAGACCTACACGAGCTTCACCCCGCAGGTCCAGAGCACCAGCAATCGCGGCAGCCCCACGCGCAACAATCCGTACATGTCGCCGCCGAACAGCTACTACTCTCCTCCCTGTACGTCGCGCCCAGCCCGCCGAGTCGTGCTCCTACTGTAAGCGCCGGCACGCTAATGAGCCATCGTGTAGCATCGCGGCCGAACGCCCCCCAGCTGCCGCCCATCCAGTCCAACATGAGCCCCGAGAGCTTCTACCCGCAGTCTGCGACGGCCCAGCTGAACGCCGTGTACAACAGAGAGCAGCGGTCCCCACGAGCATCGACGAATCCCAATCCCCCGCAACTGCCCTTGGTAGGGCGCGGGCCCGTGCCGCAGTTCGAGCCATGCACGAACACAGCCGACCTGAAGCCCAAGATCAACACGCAGCCCCCGTTTCGTCGTGCAAATCCAGAGGGTGGATTCCTCAGCGTGAGTGTATTTCGAGTCCGCCAAAGCGTGTAGCTGACAGTATCCCTGTAGCCCCTTCAAGCGCTCACATGCCATCTGCCCACGACATACAAGCTCTGCAATGCTGGCTTCAACTACCAAGCCACCCGCAACCCGCGTCGAGTCCTCACGAAACCCAGCAAGGGAGTGAAGAATGACGGCTACGACAACGAAGACAGCGACTATATCCTTTACGTCAATGACATCCTGGGGTCTGAGGAGTCAGGGCACAAGAACCGCTACCTTATTCTCGACGTGCTGGGCCAGGGAACGTTCGGACAGGTTGTCAAATGCCAGAATCTGAAGACGCAGGAGGTTGTTGCCGTCAAGGTTATCAAGAACAGGACGGCGTACTTCAACCAAAGTATGATGGAGGTCTCTGTGCTCGACTTGGTATGTTGAAGTGAGGCACTCAGCAAGCGGTCTGGGCTAACAAGTTTCCAGCTGAACAAGCAAATGGACAAGAACGACGACCACCACCTTCTGAGGCTCAAGGATACTTTTATCCACAGGCAGCATTTGTGCCTTGTGTTTGAATTGCTGAGCGTCAACTTGTACGAGCTCATCAAGCAGAACCAGTTCCGAGGTCTGTCCACAACGCTGGTGCGCGTCTTTGCTCAGCAGCTCATCAACGGTCTTGCCTTGCTCGGCAAGGCGAAGTTGATACATTGTGACTTGAAGCCAGAGAATATTTTACTTAAAAAGTAAGTGTGGTCCGCCAGAAATGCACCACGAGAAGCTAATTATGTCAGTCTCGAGAGTCCCATCATCAAGATCATCGACTTTGGATCCGCATGCGACGAGCGACAGACAGTCTACACATACATTCAGTCTCGATTCTACAGATCTCCTGAAGTGCTCCTGGGTCTGCCCTACTCGGCAGCGATCGACATGTGGTCATTGGGCTGTATCGTGGTGGAGTTGTTCCTCGGTCTGCCTTTGTTCCCCGGATCGTCTGAGTACAATCAGGTCTCCAGGATTACAGAAATGCTCGGTCTTGCGCCACAGTGGATGTTGGAAATGGGCAAGCAGTCTGGCGAGTTCTTTGAGAAGACTCAGGACGAGTACGGCCGTAAGAACTACCGACTCAAATCCATGGAGCAGTACTCGAGGGAGCACGGCACAAAGGAGCAGCCCAGCAAGAAGTACTTCTCGGCCACGACCCTACCAGACATCATCAGGAACTACCCCATGCCGAGGAAGAACATGAAGCCAAACGAGATTGAGCGAGGTACGTCAAATGTTCATGAATATACTAAGCGTTTACTAACAATTTATAGAAATGGCCAACCGAGCCGCCTTCATCGACTTTGCTCAAGGTTTACTCAACCTCAATCCCCTCGAACGATGGACTCCGGCACAAGCAAAGCTCCACCCGTTCATTACACAGGCGAAGTTTACTGGCCCCTTCGTGCCCCCAATGACTTTGAAGTCCAGCTCAAGTCGCTCCCCGGCTCCTGGCGTACAGGAGCAGCAACGCTTCGAGGGTATGGCTAAGCAGCGTGCTCAACAGCAGCAACAAGCGCTCGCTGCACAACAGGCTCAAGTAGCCCAGAGTGCTGCTTACGCAAACATGCAGATGAACCAGTATGCTGCACAGAATCCGCATCCGCAACCAAACCCGTACAACAACATGTACGCGCCAAACCACCAAGGCCAGCCGCCGCCTTACCCTGCGCAGACAGCACCGTACGGACAGCAGATGCCTGCAATGCAACCCCAGCAGCCTCGACAGTACGCACAGCCGCAGAACCTCTACGCCCAGGCGACAACACGGGCTGGGCGGCAACGTGCATCCACCATGGATCAACAACAGGCCAATGCTTCGGGCATCCCACCAGCTCTGCAAAGAGTCATGAGCCACTTGGATCCAAATGCGCCCGTCAGATTGCAGCCATCGCCTGCATACTATCCACCGCCGCCTGAGGGTGCTCCCGAGAGTGCCAGTAGCTCGAGACGGAGAGGCTCTCGCGCAGGCACTTCACAACGGAATCAAAACTTTGTTCGCAACCTCGAAGATCGAACGCTAGAGGAAGGCTTCATGCAGCAGCCTCATTGGCAATGACGCGAAAAGCTCTGAATTCTGTATTTCCCCTTCAGCAGACTGGCATCGAGATGGCGGTCAGCGAGCGATGCAAGTGTCCCATCCACGGACAACAAGTCATCATTTCGAGGCGCAATCAACATCATGTCCGCGTTATCAGTACATCAGCGAAACCATGCTTTCCAAGTGGTGCATCATCTCACATGACTACTGCCCGGGGTCTGCCTCCACTGTGTACATCCATCGACTTCACGGCGATGTATCGACTTTTCAGTATGAAATCCCACAACAGAAATTGCTCTTGATAATACCGCGACGAGGCAGGCAGCACCATGACCGGGCTAGCCAAATTGACTGGATAGCTTTGGGTGGCTTGCCAAAGGATGGTAAGCTGGGAATTTGTTGGATGACACGGCGGTATGAGTCTTCCTGTATTCCGGTACACCCTAACGAGACATTGCGACCCCTTCATTGTCTTTCATAGTAGCAGGCAGCGAGGGAATGACGGACGGCCTGCTGACGGCATATGTAATTTTACTGCATTCGTATAAATTTGCAACTGTGATGTTGAGCGCGGGTAGTGCCTGCCCAACGACCACCGTGTGCCAGCAAACACAACAGGAGTGAAGAGTCAGGCTGCGACAGTCATAGTCACAGTCACAGTCGTTTCCTGGTACAGATGTGATGCTGTGAGTGAGCAGTATCAGGCGTCGTTTGCGGGTCACACTAGCGCCGCTGAGTACCCCACCCACCACACAATTTTGACTGTGGCCGCAGTCTTGGCAAGCGCGACTTGGTGAGTCGAGGATCGCTCTTTCCCCAAACACAACACCCACGGCGACCGCCACATATACCCCTCGGACCTCCGGCAATCTCTACTCTCGAGTACAGCAGCCATGTCGCGCTTTTTCGCCGCCAGCGACAGCTCTTCGGAAGAGTCCAGCGAGGAGGAGCTCTACTCCAACGACGAGAAATCCGAGCAGGGAGACTCGGAAGTCGACTCTGACGACGACTCAGACGACTCAGACTCGTCATCTGGTTCCGAGACCGGTGCCGCCCGTTTCTTGAAGGACGCCAGCAGCGACAGCGAGAGCGACGATGAGGATGCGAATAAGGTGCTCAAGAGCGCCAAGGACAAGCGCTTCGACGAGCTCGAGGCCGTCGTGAGGCAGATCGAGAACGCGCAGCGCATCAACGACTGGGCCGTCATCTCAGACCGTACGTGCACCCTGGGCGAGAGAGACTGCAGGAGAGGGCGCAGACAGGCGTCGCGGCCGCACACGGTGGCGGGGTACAACGGACAATGCTAACACTGCCGACATAGAGTTCGACAAGCTGAACCGCCTGGTGCCGACCATGATCAAGCAGAACGATGGCAAGGTCCCCAAGATGTACGTTCAGGCCATCGCCGACCTCGAGACCGCCGTTCTTGAAGCCCACGAGAAGCAGAAGGTCACCCCCAAGAAGATGACCGCCCCCAACCAGCGTGGTTTCAATGCCATCCGCCAGAAGGTCAAGAAGCACAACCGTGACTACCAGCGGGACATCGACCTGTACAGAGAGAACAAGGAGGAGTTCATGAAGGAGGAGGAGATCGTCGAGCAGGCGCCCAAGGAGAAGAAGAAGAAGGACAAGGCCAGGATCGCCCAGCTCGGCACCGAGACCGTCATCGACGCCGGCGACGATGGCTTCGTTACCGTTGGTGCCGGCGGCAAGGCCGTCCAGTACACGGCCGAGGGCATCCTCAAGCAGCTGCGATCGATCGTCGAGCAGCGTGGACGCAAGAACACAGACAAGCTTGAGCAGATCCGCACAATGGAGAAGCTGCTCGATGTTGCCGTCAACGACTACCAGAGAATCCGCGTTCTCCTCACACTGATCTCCACCCGCTTTGACCTGACATCTGGCACCGCCAGCCACATGCACCAGGAGCAGTGGAAGCTGTGAGTTGCGCCACTATGTGTTATGATTGCGTACTTGCTGACATTCTTTAGCGCTGAGCAGGAGTTCGGCAAGCTGCTCGAGACACTAGAGAACAGCAAGGAGATTGTTGTCGTCGAGAACGCCGAGGAGTGGGAGGACGACGAGAAGACACCCACCATCGAGGAGGGCCAGATCTTCAAGATTCCTGGCAGCGTAGTCTCATTTGTTGAGAGGCTCGATGATGAGCTCACCCGCTCTCTCCAGCACATCGACCCCCACACAGCCGAGTACGTCGAGCGTCTCACAGACGAGAGCGCCCTGTATGCTCAGCTTGTGCGCGCAATGATCTACGTCGAGAGCTTGCAGAGCAGGCAGGGTCTCGAGGTCCCACAAGACTCCGCCAACCGCGTGGTTATGCGCCGGTTGGAGCACGTCTACTTCAAGGTATGCACATTCTCACTATCACTTGGGATACTCCCCGTTAACAAGACTAGCCTTCGTCCGTCGTCCAGATCCTCGAGAACAAGACATGGGAGGCGATCCCATCTCACCTAGACTCCACAACCACTCCCCGCGCTGACGCCAACGACACAGCCTCCATCGTCCAGACACTCTGCACATACCTGTTCAGTCGCAGCGAGGGCATCATCCGTGCGAGGGCAATGCTCTGCCAGATCTACTTCTTGGCTCTGCACGACCAGTACTACAAGGCTCGCGACATGATGCTCATGTCCCACTTGCAGGAAACTATTAGCAACTTCGACGTCAACACCCAGATCCTCTTCAACCGCTCCTTGGTACAAGTCGGTCTTTGCGCGTTCCGTGCTGGTCTTGTCTACGAGGCCCAGACCTCGCTGCAGGAGATCTGCGGCAGCAACAGGCAGAAGGAGCTTCTCGCACAGGGTCTCCAGATGCAGCGCTACTCGCAAATCTCGCCCGAGCAGGAACGCCTTGAACGTCAGCGTCAGCTTCCCTTCCACCTCCACATCAACCTCGAACTGCTCGAGTGCGTCTACCTGACATGCTCCATGTTGCTCGAGATCCCTCTCCTCGCACAGCTCGGCTCATCGCCTGATCTCAGGAAGCGTGTTATCAGCAAGACCTACCGCCGCCTCTTAGAATACCATGAGCGCCAGATCTTCACCGGACCTCCGGAGAACACTCGTGACCATGTCATGCAGGCCTCCAAGGCACTGTCTGCTGGCGAGTGGAAGAAGGCTGCCGAGTTCATCAACAGCATCAAGATCTGGGAACTGGTGGCCAACCAGGAGCAGATCAAGGACATGCTTTCCGCCCAGATCCAGGAGGAGGGTCTGAGGACCTACCTCTTCACATACGCGCCTTACTACGACACACTTGCCATCTCGACCCTGGCTGATATGTTCGAGCTGAGCGAGCGCAAGATCAGCGCCGTCGTCAGCAAGATGATCTCCCACGAGGAGCTCGCCGCTGCCCTCGACCAGGTCAACAGCGCAGTCATCTTCCGCAAGGGCGTCGAGCTCTCCCGCCTCCAGACCCTCGCCCTCAGCCTCTCCGATAAGGCCTCCGGTCTCATTGAGTCCAACGAGAAGACGCTCGAGCAGAGAACACAAGGCACAGCGCACGCCTTCGAGCGACAAGGCGGTCGCGGCGGTCGCGGCGGTGGCCGCGGAGGTCGTGGTGGCCGTGGCGGCGGCGGTGGCCCGAGGGGCGGCCGAAATCAGCAGTTCACGGGCGGTGCGCTGGGACGCGCGATCCAGGCCTAGAGCGCTGGGGATGTTTAGGTTTTCATGGGCGGCGTTTGAACTTCGGGTGCCGAGACTTTTGGCTGGCTTCCCGTGGTAATGCAATGGCATGATGATGCGGACAGATATGAAGACGGGGATGATTTGTTAGTGCATACCAAGCTAGTAGATTACGAATTACATCGGGAAAAGTTCATGCGCTTTCTTCTGTTGTCGCGCTGGCCTCTGGGGCTTCGTAGCTGATCTGTTGTCGCGATGGGCGTGCAGGCACATCGCCAGGCTTTCGTTGATCTTGGCTCTGATGGATCGAGGAGTCGTGTCTGAGGGAGCTGGCGGTACCGTCCTATACACGACCAGTTTGGGACACTGTGTGCACTGGTGGGGCACATGGTTTAACATGGAGTAGTGGGACTCGTGGCGACGTAATACCAGAGCTGTCCCTCTGCACTCTCTCTAGTTCACGGTCAAGATGCTTGGCTCATGTCTCAGTCTAGATCTGACACACAGACGAACATGTGGTTTCACTGATGTCTTGTGGAGAGTTGGAAGAGCGTGAGATGAGGGCTGGAGGAGATCGCTGCAGAATAAGGGTTTCGAATCAGAGAGAACTCACAGCCAGCTGCACGTCAACGTGTCGACTGGTGTTTTGGTTTCGGCTGATGCAGAGAAGATGTTTGATTCAGATCGTGACACCAGAGATGTGGAGATTCATGTGAGGTTCTTGGTATCGTACTTGGCAAGCAGGTGCAGAGGTTAAGCACTCATGGCGAATATGCCATGGCTGATCTCGTTCTGAGTCAGAACACCGAGGCTGTGGCCATGGACGGTGTTTCTGTTGTCTCCCTTCATGTCTCCGAAGCATGTGCATTGTTGGTATGAGTTATGTTGGCACGGGACAGATGGAACGTGTTTGCTTTGCTATTGTTCCGAGGCGTACAGAGTTCCGCACAGAATATGCAAGGCTACAGTCATACGTTTTCGTCTTCACCCGTGTTACTGTTGTCTGTTTCATTGTAATTGTGCTTTGCGAGTAGCATTCTCACTGAAAGGTAGATCTTCTGCTAATATTCTGTGTCGAAAGCAGCTGCTTTGATATGTTAAGACAATTAAGAAAGATGTAAATGGGATAATACGATGCGAATGATGGAATGTTAAGGTATACATGAGTAGCACAAGCCTATCGTCCATGGTACAGTCCATGATGAACGTATAGTCGCTGCCACAACAGGCTTCAAGAAGTAGAGGTAGCGGCCCTACGAGTATGAGACCCGAGTATGAGACCCGAGTATGATGTTACCTTCGCGCGCTTTTACATGTATTAGTACCGTGTCTTGTACCCTTCGAGCGTTGTAGAAGGAAGATCTAAGCTTGAGCCACGATGATGTGTGTGGTATATTGGCCGGGATGAGCGGAAAATCCTGTAATTCGTCTCACAGTCGTTTGATGAAGAGTCAGGATCGGTGCTTAAAGCGCAGGTTGGCGTCCGACAGCGCCGACTCTGGTGACCCAGGGGCGTCCGCTCGAACAGGATATTAGTGGTATTGAATGAAATTTTGAGTCGTTTACGAAGAATTTTGGCGTTTTGAGCAGACCAGGGTCTTCATGTCCAATGTTTACGCGTGGCTCCAGCGTATTCATTTTTCAATAGTCTGAAAAGCATGGGCCGAGCAAGAAGCACTGGATATCAGAGGTACCAATACAGTGGATACACACGTAGATAACACATGCACGTAAGACACAGCAACACCGCATACGCCCGCCCAACCCGCCTTTGGTTGAGTGCAGAGTCCCGCATCGCGGAAACAAGCATCAGTAGCGCAGTTCTCTCTCTGGACATGGATGGCACTCATTCGTAGGAGGCACGTGGACCGTTTCTTGGTGCTTTTGGAATCGATAAGACACTTTTTGAGGGACACGAACATGGCAAGCAAGTGTGAAAGAGTCCGAACATAGTACTGTTATCACATGTATGTGGTGAAGTAGTGGGCAGATACGCCGAAGGCGGCACAGCGAAGGCACTGGCTGTATAAAGGAAGTGCGCAGTGAGCGAGCGCATGAACCAAAGATGTTCAGTCTCTATCTGCTATCTGCCTCGTTCAAAGCTAGTGGTATCAATCATCACACCTCATGCACTCGTGCTCCCTCCAAGACGAGCCATTGCAGAGTCTACTCGGCTTATCATCGCACTCCCCTGCGGCGTTGTTTCTCCTGTTGCAAATGGCTGCGTGTCGTTGCTTTGCTGGGTGTTCTTGCTCTGCTCGGTAGTTTTGCTTTGCCTGGTGTTCTGGGTCTTCTAGACCGGAACACCAACGTAACCTATCCGTGGCTTACACCTCGCTCCGTCCGTTGTCTCGCCGTCCCATTGGCTTCTCCACTCCTTCTCCTCTGCCTTGACGCTCTCGAACACTTCGCGTTCTTCGGGCTTCATCTCCGCCAAGTCCTCGTCGGAGAGCTTGGGCAGGCCGTTGGGACCAACGTCGATATAGTCGGCGTCAGGGCCGGGGATGCCGAGACCGGCAAAAGGCGGCTTCTGGAAGATCTGGTCGACGATGAGGTACTTCTGTGCGACGACAGGAGGCACGTCTGTCTCTGCTGCCGGGACCTGTTCCCATCTCGCGTGGGTCGGCTGTGTGGTTTTGGGATAGCACATCAGGTTTGTGTGGGGATCGTAGGTGCCGTTGGCCAAGTTCGCGCGGCGGATCGCAGAGAGGGATGCGTTGAAGCGGCTGTCGAAGTTAGTCAAACTATCGGTCGTCTTAGTGTTACGCTGACATACCTGGCTGCTCGACCGTGCTCGAATTGCCAGTTCGCAGACGTGATGTTGACCTTCTTCTTTCCCGGAACGGGCTTGCCATTGGCTGTGGGCACGCTGGGGACGCCAGTGTGGTAGACGCTGCTCGCGCCGTGCCAGGCGACATACTGGTTCTTGTTGTATGGCTCGCCCGATGCTGGCAGGCGATCGTTGGGGTCTGCGAGCTCGCCCTCGACGTCGCCTCGCTCGCGCGCGGCAGTCGCGTAGTAGTCGTCGATGATGCGCTTGCCGCCAATGATGATGCGGGCACCAAACTCTCGGAAGACGGAGCGCGCTGTGACGACACCAATGGCGCGACCTTTGTAGGAGTGGGGGATGATCTCGCGGTCAATCAGGTCGCGCTTCTCGGTGTCATCGATGATGATCTTGAAGAGCTGCATGTGCTTGGTGAAGAACAGGTAACTGTCCCTGAAGCCGCAGCAACGCGCCGGCTCGGTCGACAGCATGTACTGCCGCTCGCCTCTGCCCTTGATTGTGAATATGCGCACGCGGTAGTCGCGGCCGCCCTGGAGGTTGCCCATCTTGTCGACCTTCTGCTCGCCCTCGGCGTCCTCGGGCAGATCGACCTCGTCGTTGATGACGTCCATCATGTTGCCCTCCTTGTCAATCGGCACGCGCGTTGTATGCGACGGCCCACCCTTTGGCGGGCGTCCGCGACCTCCGCCTGCTGGCCGCCCGCGCTTGCGCTTGATGGGTGTGCCGCCCTCAGAGACATTCTCGGGGTCCTGGTTCCAGTCTGGCGGCCTGTTCTTCGGAGGGCGTCCAAGCCGCTTCTTGCGCGGGAATGGCTGAACGATTGCTGGCGACGGCGAGCGTTCTGAGGCAACTTCCTCCTCCTCCTCTTCGGGTGCGGCCTCGGGTTCCTCCTCCTCCTCTTCCTTGGGCGACTCTGCGCGCGACTCCACTGCGTCGTCCATTTCTATGTCGCTGTCTTGCTGGGGCGTTGCGCTGCGCGCGGGCGTGCTGCGACGGGCGGCAGCTCGAGATGGCCGGCCGCGCGCCATTGTTGAGTGAAAGCGCAGTTTGGGCCTAGCGCAGTATGATTGGAAGCCGTAGCTGGGCGTAGCTGATTGAGACGGAGCTACGAGTGCGAAATCTCAGGTGAAGGGCAAATGCGCGGATTGTTGGTGATGCATGCCTCGCGACCAGCTTCGCGACTTCCTCCCGGACGTGTCGACACTAGGCTGCATTCGGTGTGGAGCTGTCACGTGCACCGACAACCACTACCGTTGCCTTCGCCCTCCCTGAGCTTGATGGCAATCCATCTTCGCCAGTGAACTGACGTTCAGAATTCCAGATGACCGTCTCACTCAAATCGTCTTCCATGAGGTGTTGCAACGCCCAAGTGACGGAGTGAGCGACTTCCCTGCTTTGAGGTGATGCGACCTGTTGGCCAAGACATGCAATCGTGGGAGCGAGACATTATAAAGATCTTTACCACGAGATCTCGTCATCTCAAGGATGGGGGCACGTCCAGGTGATTGCTGATCTACTTCATGGCTACTTCTGTCGAAGCTGGCCTGCAATACAACTGCCCCCAGGCTCGGGGCACCTGCTCCTTACATCGTAACAGCAAGCTCCATGGGCTTGTCAACAGACCACGAGGAACGTAGTAGGAGCGCGGGCCGGTGTTTTAGGGCTGCACGTCTTCGCTCGATCACGACCACGTTTCCCTAGCTCACACCAGGTCAAGACAGCATCAGTGAGCAAACATGGCTTTTCAACGCCTAAACATACGCGCAAAGAAGAGCTTCCCAGGACTCTATTCTTTCGACAATGTGGAAAGCTCGCCTGCCAAGTCCGCACCTCATGGTCCCTTACGAGCCTGTACTGACCAGACGGCAGGAGTATGGCGATGCACATCGACTCCTCTCCTCGCTCAGACCTCACCCAAGATCTAGAGGAATGTGACCTCGAAGAGTTCGGAGCCAAGCTTGAGCGCTGCAAGGGCAAGGATTCCCCAGGCAGAGAAAGCCCCTCCAAACGCAAGAAGCTGTTTGGATCACTGCGAAGCCTCCGGTCCTTGGCAAATCTGCACTCGTCCCCAACCAAGACCAAGCAAGCCACGACACCGCGTCCTGAGTCTTCTGTGAAGTACCGGGTAAGAAGCAGTACTCAGATTCACTGCCTGCAACTCGCTGACTGCTCTAGGACACGTGTGCGACGTCACTGCCCATGTCACCTTCGCTTGCCCTGCTCAACTTCGAGCAGTCACCGCCTGACAAGCCAATGTTCGACCTCACCATGCACCAACGTTCGGGGTCTGGATCCAGCCTGGAGGTGCATCATTCGTCACCAATGACAGTGCCAGGTTCGGCCAGGCAAGCAACACCGTACAACATCTTTCCGCCCGCGACCGACTTGCCTGCAGGAACGGTCCCTGTTACTCCTGGTCCGATGCAGAGAGCGTTCAACCGGGATCCTGCCAACCACGTTCTCTGGCAGAATGCTAGCCCTACACCATTGGAAAGGTATGCACCTTCGACACCTGTTCTTACGCCATTGCCAGGTACAAATCTCTCTGTTGAAGACATTGACCCGGAGCTTGTCCCTTTACCACCTTCTGTCAACCCTTCTATAGTATACTTGAGCCACAGCAATCCCGGTTATTTTGACATACCCGTGGATGAGAACCCACAGATGGACAGTACGGATGTGCTCAATGGACTCGCCTGTCTCAAGCTCGCCGATGCACACGATGGTACTGCCGGTGACTACAGCAAAGCCTTCGCTGATGCGGGTGTGGATGCACCTGTTGGACGTCGTGGTACTGCTGAAGAGATGAGACACCAGTACGGAGACGCAAAGGTCCAGGACACTGTGAACACGCTGGTTATCCCTCAAGGCCGACTTCGAACGCATGGGCGCCAGCAGGGAGCCCGAGAACCCCAAGAGAATGTCCGAGGCTTCCCCAAGCACCACCAGGAATTGCCACTCCGTCTCAAGCAGGAGGATGGAGGCCTGCAAGACTCTGTGCGACAAGACTCTTGCATCAGCGAGGATTGGGAGACATGCAGTGGCGCACGCTCGGCGGCAATGACATCAGTGCATTCACTCCACAATCGCGACCTGAACCAGCCCTGTATGTCGAGCTCTTCATCCATTTATGCAGGAGATGGCAAGGGGAATGATGTTGAGAACGACATGACTCCCAAATTCGCCTACATTGTGTGGGACAGTCCTGACGGCCCGCGTCGAGGTCTAGCTCCAGAGAAGATTTGGGGACGACACTCAGGTCTTTACGACGGCTCCGGCTATGGAGAGGACAGTGGTCCCTCAACACCTCGCGAGCCCGAGGAGGGCATCCAGGGAGAGTTGAAGGCATCGTCGGCGCCGCTTTCGGTTTGCGGAGCGCGCTTCGGCAAGGAGAACTCCAACGGACCTTCGAGAGGCGAAGATCCGTTCCCTGGAGCCGTATCCGAGTCTCCATTGGCGACTCACGAACAGGGCAACTGCGAGAGCCTGGAGTCGATATATCGTGCATACGCCTACCCCTTCGGAGACAGGATTCCGAGCAGCAGCAACAACAGCGTTGGCGGGGACGTACAGCGACTTGAGACAAAGGATGGTCAGATCAGCCCATGAAGACGGGCACATGCATAATGGGTCGTTCATTCTTATACACTCGGCAGGGTTCTTTGTACGAACAGCATTGGATAGGCTGCTTCCCGCATTCAAGCTCATATTGGTGTAACGAAGATGCAGAAGGTAGGAGCAGCATTGATAGGAGCAGCATTGATTGGACAAGCATTGATTGGACAAGCATTGATAGCAGCTAGCACACGTAGGCCTGAATAGGAAGAATTCTTGAGCAACGGCAGGGCAAACGTAGCCGTGGTCGTGGGCCGAGTCAAACGAGCGGCAGATGATTAGTAATTCGAGAGATGGCCCAGGATTGCAGAGCTCTGGATGCACGTCTGAGGCGATGCTTGCATGCAGATGAGCAGTAGCGCCGGGAAGATGCTTGGCCATGATTTTCTCAACAGCGATCATGTGGAGGAACCCACTGGTGTCATACGAGGAAGCCCCCGGAAGCCCGGTTCGAGTGTGACAGGCGTGCGTGTTGCGGGCCTTAGTCGCCCCAAATGCATCGAGTGCCCGCAGGTGAGCCCACAACGGCCACAATGGCCTGACTTTGTGGGCAGGTTTCGCACAGTCGGAGGCTGCTTGCTACCGGCTTACGACCTGGACTGGACAGCGCTGCTACACGCGGTGGATCAGTGCGTTGTGAGGAGATGTATAGGTATATGCGCGAGATATGCTGGGGGTAAATGGGTAGGTATAAGGAAGCCGTGGCGCTGTGGTGGGTGCGGCTGTACTTTGAAGGTCGTGAAGTTCGGTTCGGCTGTATGCACCCTGCACCGGCTTTAACTAGGCATGGCGTCACCTGCTTCCGCGACGAGAACTTCTACACGTGCAACTTGTACAACATCAGCGCCCACGCCCTCACCCTCGCCCACGCACTCGCCCACGCCGGGACCACCGGAGGCCCATACTGTTATCATCGGCAGCGGCATCATCGGACTCAGCGCTGCGTACTTTCTGTGCGAGAGCGGGAACACAGATCCACAGACGATATGGCTTGTGGATAGCAGCCCGGAGCTGTTGCACTGCTCGAGTGGCCTTGCGGCTGGCTTCTGCGCCAAGGACTGTACGTGTCGATTCTCCTTCCGTGCTCACGCGTCCGTCGCTGACAAAGAGACGCAGGGTTCGCGCCGTCGGTCGCCGCGCTTGGCGCGCTCTCGTTCGCCCTCCACAAGGAACTCGCCGACGCGCACCACGGCCGCCAAACCTGGGGCTATGCGCTGTCCACCGCCATCAGCCTCAGCCAGGACTCCGAGTCGGCTCTCGCCGGCTCCGGTGAGGATTGGCCCGCGAACGGCACCAGTCACGCGCAGCCCGCGGGCCGGAGTCGTCCCTCGGAGGCGGACGACGGCCCGCGGTGGCTGAGACGCACCGAGGATGGCATGATGGAGGGCATAAGTCGCGGGGGGTCGACGGCGCAGATTGACCCGCGGCGGTTTTGCGCGTGGCTTAAGCAGAGCGTCGAGAAGCGGGGCGTGCGCGTGCTGTATCCTGCGGTCGCGGCCGAGGTGCTGAGGGATACGCAGGGGGCCTTGAGCGGCGTGCGCGTGGTGCGCAATCGCAACCAGCGCACGCAGGACTGTGAGCTTCCCGCGCTGTCGCGAACTACTGCAGATGGACTCAGGCTGACGCCGACGCAGTGCCGTGCACACGCCTCCTCATCACCGCCGGCGCCTGGTCGCCCCGCGTCTTCGCCACGCTGTTCCCCGCCGCAAAGACGCGTATTCCCATCTGCGCGCTCGCCGGCCACTCGCTGCTCGTGCGCAACCCGTTCTTCGATCCGCAGGAGAGGGAGAAGGAGAAGGACGTGTGCCACGCCGTATTCGCGACCGACACGCTCGGTTTCGCGCCAGAGTTGTTTGCGCGAGTAGGCGGCGAGCTGTATCTTGCGGGCCTGAACAGCACGAACATCCCGCTGCCGGATGTGGCGACGGACGCGGTCGCGAGCGAGAAAGCGATCGCGCAGCTGAAGACGTGTGCGCGGGCTATGCTGGCGGACAGCGGCGCGGGGAGGGAGATGGAGGTCCTGCGGGAGGGATTGGTGAGTCTATTCTTGCTGCGCTTGTCTATCACTTGCTCACCGTCGCAGTGCTTCCGCCCCGTCACGCCGAGCGGCCGGCCTCTCGTGACGCGTGTTCCTGACGAGAGGCTTGGGGGCGTCAGGACGAGAGGGGGAGGGGAGGGCGGAGTGTTTATAGCGGCCGGGCACGGCGCCTGGGGGATCTCGCAGGGGCCCGGCACAGGACTCGTGCTGGCGGAGCTGATGGAGGGACGACCGACGAGCGCGAATATCGACGCATTGCGCTTGCCGTCGTGATCGTATCATTTGCTTTCGACTAGGTGCTTCAGCATTGTTCGGCGTTGGGCATTTCGGTCGCATACATAGGGTAGACAAGCGACTCCAACGAACCACAACCGCAGCTTCACCACCATCAGCACCTCTCCTCGATCCACTGCTGATCAGTGTGCACCCCTCCAGCTAGTGCACAAACTCAGGTACCCGCCCTCTCCAAGCGTACCGTCGTCACGCTCCACTATGACGCTCACGACGTCATCACCCCACTCGTCTGCAAACAGCACCACCATCTCTCGAATATATAACATTCGCACACACCACATCTTCCAAACCAAATCCCAATTGCATATCTGCAACTCACCCTTGACCATCCAATCCTAAACACAAAACCTAATCACCACCACAATGCCCCGCAACGGCGACGGATCCAGCGACAACGGCCCCATCGAGGGCCAGAACATCGTCCACGGCGCCGGCAAGGTACTTGCCCTCCCCCCTTCCCCTCCCTCCCTCGCTAGATGCTAATCAAGACGGCAGCCCGAAGCGCAGCCCGCGCACGCCAAGAACAACGTCGCGCCCGCCCCGGAGCTCGAGAAGGGCGGTGCTATCGAGGGCCTCGGCGCGAGTGGAGGCGGAAACAAAGCTGATCAGGCGGAGCCTAGTGTTGCTGGGGATAAGCCCAGGCAGTAAATTGGAGGTTCAAGGGAGAGAAACGGAGGATAAGGGGTGGTATGCAAGGCATACAGCAATGTTGGTTTGTGGAACATTGTGGGTTATTGAAAGGAAACGAAATGAAACGGACGAAATGAAATGAAAAGACATGAAAAGAAATGGATCTGAAGCGAGGAGTGTGCTCTGCTGGCATCCACTGTCTTATGTCCCTCTGCAAGGTGAGGCAGCGATTGCCTAATGTATATCCCACGTCTCCGAGGCGTTGTGCTGCGCGGGACTCTGCATCGACGTCGTCGTATGCCTCTGTATAAACTACAACGCACCTCGTACTCGCGCGGAGCAAGCTGACAACAAGCTCAACCCAAACGACGAGGGTTGCAGCAACTACCCGCTGAGCAAAGGTGCTGACACGCAAGTGTGATCGCCAGACACTGGTAAGCTAGCCCTCGCCGAGCCGCCGCTAATTACAGCGGTGGGCTGGCGCGGGCGGCGTGCCCAAGTTAAGTGTGGCTGGCGCTGAAGCGAGGCCCACAGAAACACCTAGAATACCTCGCTAGGTGGAGAGCGCCATGTCACTGCGGGGTTAGGTCGGGGGGTGTTGGCCGGAACCGTGGATGGTGAGTCAAGGGGGTAGTGACTCATGAGCAAGGCATGGCGAGTAAGGCATGTGAGAATATTAGCAGAGACGTCACGACGCAGTGCGATTTCAACGCGAGAGAACTTGGTGAGAGAGAACTTCATGTGAGAACTCGACGCTCGAATTGAATGTTTGACTACCTATCACCAGCCCTTGGTGTGCAGCTGCCAAAACGATATCCAGGAGAAGTACCAAGATCTCAGACAATATTGGTACATGTTCATAACCCCTTGCAACGCCGCGGTGAACCGCACCCAACCTGATCGCTCGCTATCTGCCATGATTGTACACCCTTACGCCGACCTAGTTGTCCAAGCCTACGAGACCTCATCAATCGTGAACTTCGGACGCCATCGAGGGACCCAGTCTCGCTCTTCGTGCTGCCAGGCCTCATAGCGTTCTCGAAGCTAGTTGTCTGCTGCGAGAGCCCCGTCGCAACCAAAAGGTGCGCCAGAGGCACTCTGCATGTCAGAGAACTTTGCATCAAAACCGTCAGGAAGGCCTGAATAGTCTGAAGTTGAGCCTGAGCCGAAGAAGGCTGTGCCGAAGAAGTCATCGCTGTGAGCCAGGCTAACGTTGGATTCCACTGAAAGAGAGTTTTCAGGGAACTGGTCGAAGTCGAAGAGGTTGTCGAGGACACCAGGCTTTGAATCGACTGAATGTAGAGACTGAAGAGAGTAAGATAGGCAAGGATCGCCGCCATGGGGGAGGCCTTGCCCGAAGTTGACTGACACTGCAGGTCGCACAACATCGCAGCAGGATATTGTGTCAAGTCAAAATCGGGAGAGGCCTCGAAAGTTGAGGCGGGAGTCTCAGGCTGGCACGACGAGTCCCTGGGGGAGTCCATCGAGTCCATGGAGATGGGCGAGTATGGCGGCGCCGACAGGGTCTGGGAGGGGTTCATCGTCTCGGCGTCGGTGAAGTTGAAGGCCAGATTTGTTGACTCGGGCTTCTCGCCCGGGTATTTGGAGTGCCAGAACCGGAGTTCGGCCTCCACCTCATCGACCCTGGCAGCCTTTGCGCGAAGCGCGGCCATCTCGGCCTCGAGGGCGTCCTTCTGATGTTGAAGGTTCTCGGTCTCCTGGCGCTTGCGTTCACGAGAGTTGTGAGCAGCGAGGCGATTGCGCTTTACACGCTCGATACGACGCTGCTCCTTCTCGTCTTCGGTCTTGGCTCGCTTGCGGGGTGGCAGGCTGGTCTTTGGTTCAGGGAGCACTTGGCCCCACGATTTCCTCTTTTTTACCGGCTTACTTTCTGACGCCGAAGGCGCCGGCGTCTGTGCTGATGTTTCTGATGTGTACACCGATGATGGTGATGGTGACGGTGTGGTGTATGGCACCTGGAGGTCCTCCATCTTGATTGTGGTGGGAACCGACTCCGTGTGTGGTGGGGTGACGGGACCAGAGGCCATCATTGCAGGCGTAGTCATTGTCTCTTGGAAAAACGTGGTGGTATCCATCTTCCCCGTGATGTCAGAGGTTATCGATGCGTCGATGCGTCTTAGTAGACTGCATCTGGAGGGGTGGAGTTGGGTGTAATAAGACTGAAGGTGCTGGAGATTTGAACAGCTGGCCTCACGGGCTGGCTTTATCTAAGAGAGCAGCTGCGCCCCTGCAGATTACGCTTGTCCGAATTTGGCGGGTGCCGACAGTTCCACGCCTTTGCCCAATTTAGTGCCACTAAGGGCCCAATACCGCACCACTCAGCGACGCACGCCCTTGGTCCCCTACTCAGCCCACGAACCACCCGTTTCACTACCGACCGCTTCGGATTCCGCCCGTTCCCCAGAGGGCAAGTCAGGGACTCGTCAGGGGAGACGATGCGCCGAGACCACAACCTGCCTCACGTCCAGCGTGCATTCCATGCGTGTCAACGCGTACCTAGACGTGTTTCATTTCACTGTGTGGGCTCGCAAGTGAAGGCCTCATCTCAGCCTCAAACAAATTCGAAGCGCAACCTGCAGCTGGCGCTGACTTTCGCTGTGACCCACTGTAGCACTGCAGCACTGAGTGGCGATACGAAACTACGCTGCGTCGTAACAAGTCGTCAGCTTCCCAATCAAGCGCCTCGGAGCGCATTCACCAACTCCCTCTTTTAGCCCGGTATACGGTCACGAAGGGTCCGATTACTGCTGCCTCCAGCTCACCTCTGAGATACGAGTTAGCCTAAGGGACCTTCTCGAAATAATTCCACTGCTTGGTTTAATCTAATTGTACGGAGCACTAAGCCTTTACCCGCAGAACCTCAATATCCCCACATAGAAGAGCAATATAGATACTTCTGTTAATGCAGCAATCGGCGCACAGTAATCTGGGGTAAATACCTGCCGTTTGCAGCACGAGGACAAAAGGATAGAGTTTCCCTGCGCCACCGGCTTGTCGCAGCATCTGCTAAGCAGCAATTTGGAACTTTCAGTGCCCGGGCGAACCCCTTGTTCAATTTTGATGAGCACCGCACAAGGCCCGAGTCGTGTGGTGCCGTAATAGCGGGACGATCGGCAACTGGTGGTGACATCCACGTACCGCGACAGGTACACAGTAAACCCGACGAACACCAGGTCTGGAAACTCTCCTGCCTGAAGGCCAGCCGACGATACACCATCGCCACGGCCTGGAAGAAAAAGTTCACCTAGATGATTCAGGATCCGTAACTTCCGTCTGCTGTCTCATACGTGTTTCTCTGTCAGTCTCTCAACTTTACCCTGCGTTCGTCAGCGTTTCACGAGGCAGCCGAATACGCGCCAATCAGACTGCGAGAAACAGAGCTGCCTGCACGTTCGCCCCGATCACCACCGCCTTCCTTTGTTGTCAGCGCACGCCAGCATCACGATGCAATCATTGTTGAACGAGCGGCAAATCGATAGTCTGGATCGAGAGGATAGGAGGGCGGTTGCAGTTGCCTGCTTGGAAGTTCAAACGGACAATGCGTTCTCAACTTCGTGGGAGCCTACAGGCTCCGGCAGCAGCACTCCATCGCTTGTGTACACTGACGACGCAGATGGGGCAGTTGTCGCCCCTGGACGACGGGGAGGTGGGACTTGTTGCGCCGTTGTGGCACTGGCAACTCGAGTCACTCGACTGCATGCTCCCCACAGCGTCAAATGTCTAGAATCGCCCCTCACCGAACCTTCCCTGCGCTCACTCACTCAACAAAAACAACGCCTGACCGCCATTTGAACGGTGCGAACGTCGACGGCAAGAACAAAGAGATGACAAAAACATACAACAGCGGGTATTCGCTAGTGGTCACCCACCTAACTACTAATCCGCCGGTACGTTGCTTAAATATGGCTGAGCGAACGGGAAGCCTTGTTTTCAACGTCCTATGGTCGTATGTGACAGTTTCCTTTTTGTTAACGATTATATAGCGCGTAAACCCTCACGTCGATCGTCCCTCTCCTACCCAGCAGAGCGCCATCTCTCCTCTACTTTAGCCTCTAAATCCTGTGATTGCAATATTCGCAATCGCCGCAAAAAGCTTGCAGTATAGAAAGCTCACAAAAGAACAAAAAACATACAACAGCGGGTATTCGCTAGTGGTCACCCACCTAACTACTAATCCGCCGGTACGTTGCTTAAATAGGGCTGAGCGAACGGGAAGCCTTGTTTTCAACGTCCTATGGTCGTATGTGAAAGTCCTCCTTTTGCCAATGTTTGTAAAGCGCGTTAAGTTTACGTCGACCACTCCTTTTATCTTCAATACGTCAGCCTTTAAATCCTGCGGTTGCACCATTCACACACTAAACTCAACACCTCCAGCGAAAGATCCTTGGATTTGGTTAGTAATGTAAGGCTTGCCCTAGACCTTGAGAGTCGGAAAATGCCTCACAACGTCGTCTTTCTAGACAGTCTTAATCTTCTACAGATATACGTCTCTTGCTATGTTGTCGCAACAGTCAACTTTACTTACACGAAGTGCGCCATTTCTGTGCATCCCTACTAGGCTATCACCCAGTTAACTGAGATTATACCGTAACTACTAATCCGCCGGTACGTTGCTTAAATAAGAAAGCCGCTAATTACAGTACAAGGGTGTGACCGTAATGGATGCGCCACCCTCGCTACAAGCAGTGGCGGTACTCCGTGGTCACTTATACATACAAGTGCTACCTACTCGGCCCTTGAAGGTTCTGAAAGAAGATCCGGAGGGTCTCCTGCCTCGCACAGGCAGCTTCTCCGAAGCTTATTGAAAACAACTATAGGGGTCGAGTAAGTTACTACATATCTTTATTTGCGTAAGCTTTAGCCTTGTGCAGTAAAAGAGGGGCTCGGAATCTGACGTACTATAGGATTTACTAGCTCTGGTTACTTAACATTCTTTTTGAGCGCTGACAAAGAAGCGGCTATGTGATCTCTTTATGAAAAACGCTTCGCAGTTCTGTCTCGAGGCACTCCATTTGCCATTTGTTCAGAGTCCTGTCTAGACTGTCTATACTTGTAACCACGTGGCTCAGATCACTAAGGAAGAAGATGCCAAAGACGTTTCGAGAAAGCCAAGTTGTCCAACACTCTGTACGGCGAAACTAAACTGCCTAGCTGGACCTCAGCAGCTCTGGTATCAAATCCTGGTCACCGAAAACCTCTATGCTTTTCTCAGGACACGCGACGATGAATCACATGCCCTTGATTCCTACTGGATCGACGCTATCTGCAACAAACAAAAGGATACTAAGGAGCGAACTTGCCAAGTGGGAATCATGAAGACCATCTATCCATCTGTAAACATTGGCCCTTCAGCTGATAAAGGCTTTGGCTAAATGGGGTACAAGTAATGAGAGGTACGAACGAATCTATTGCCTAAAGGAGATCATACCTAAAAGTCTGGCTGAATTCACACCATCAAGTGGGCGGATGTTGTTAAAGTGTCAGGATTCGTTGCAGCCAAAAAGGCGGCAAAATGTACATATATTAGTACCCCAAAGTAGGCATGCTAAGTAGGCCTATTCTGCCCGCGACAAAATTTCTCACCGTCACCTCATAGACAAGGTGGATGTCTGAAGTTACGGGTTCACACCAAGCCAGGCATGCTGTTCCGAATATCTTGGACAAAACATTAGGGCATCTACTTTGTTGCGGCAGACGTAGCCGCTGTATAGTCGATGGAAACTGCGCAGTTGCTTGCTAGCTAGGAGGCGACCGTATATACATGCCCTGAGACGTGCTAGTCCAAGGTAGTCAACAGAGGTGACAATCAAGGCCTGTTAGACCGACTTGCACTGTAACAACAGTAGTACTTATTAACAATCATCCCGTCTATCACCTGCGGTGACAAAAGCATGCACTAGACAACTATTAAGATGGCAGCATTAAAAAACTTAGTTGGCTCAACTAGACGTTCTTGTTTCTTTCAGATATTAATAGAGGAAAGACTAGATCTTAGTTATGTTTAGTTACCATTGTTTCAGCAACCTCCTAAGTTATACGTATTTTAAGATAAGTAATACTCCTATAGGTCTAGAATTAATAGTTTCATATTAATAGGTATACCTTAAGACATATTCTCAGCCTTCAACAAGAACATTTAACTAATACTTCTCTAAAATCCCTTCACAGCAGGTAGGTACGACCAGACCGTATCGACGGCACCCGCGACCAGATTTTAATGCTCTCTGTAAGCCTAAAACGGCTTATGTGGTATTCGGAGAGCACGTTAGACAAGAACCAGCACTGGTAACGACATTCACTTGACCAGAGTCACTGCGTTTCCAGAAGTAGGAATGACAACCAAAGCTGTTGAAGCCTTCGCTCATGGCATGGGTTCGCTCGGGGAAAAGGCTTTCAACGACAGCGATTGGTTCTTTGCGTCGTCGCTCGGAGGACGCTGCTGTTAAAGCTAGGCAGCGAATGTCAGCGAGGCTATGCAAAACCTGATGATGGGTCTCGCTAGCATATTGACCCTCTTGAACCATCACATATCGAGGCGTGTGGCTGTCGACACACAGGCAGTCGTACGGGGCCTGGAGCCTCATCAAGCAGTATTGCACGTAGCTTGTACTATGCGCCGATCGATCAACCCTCGTCGACCACAGCGGCTGGCGCCGACTCACTCCGTATCGGTCAACGACGGCGCGTCTATCTGGGCTCTGCTCGAAAGATGTGACAAGCCTAGGCGGTCTCGACGGCAGTGCACTTGAGATGAGAAGTACCGTGGTCTTAATCACAGTGTCAACCATAAACGGCAGCATCGGTGACACGACCTTCTCCCACAAGCCAGAGAGCACTAGACGTTCAATCAGCCAGTACGCGGGTAGTTATAACTTTAAAGGTCTAGGGCAAGCCTTATAACGTGGTTCACAAGCGAGTCGCCCACCCAAGTGAGTCGCCCACTAAACACCCGCGCCCCGCCTGCGCAGCAACAACGCGTAATGCCACAACAACGCAACATGCGAAAGACCTATAACGTACTCCACAAGCGAGTGACCGGCACAAGCGAGTGACCGGGTTTTGCCAAGACCACACCAAACTTCACTCTGCCTATTATACCTCAACAAAATAACATGAAGAGGCTGTCAAATAAAGCAGACATACAGCTTGCTCTCTAGGCTATCCAACAAGACGCGAATCTTACTGTGCCACGCGCTGCAGCTATCTATAAGGTGTCAGAAAGCACCCTACAACAACAACGCGACAGAAAGCTCTCTCAACGCGATTGCAAGCCCAACATGATAAGGATGACTAGTACTGAAGAGGAGGTAATTGTCCAGCATGTATTAAAGCTAGACGAGCGAGGATACTCGCCCCAGCTTGCTAATGTGGAGGATATGGCCAATTCTCTGCTTGCTGAGCGCCACCAGCCCCACGTTGGCAAGAACTGGGCTGCCAACTTTGTTAAACGTCGGCTAGAGCTTAAAGTCAAATTTAATCGCAAGTACGACTATAAGAGAGCTCTATGTGAGGACCCTAAGGTAATTAGGGACTAGTTCTAACTAGTAGAGAATACTAAAGCCAAGTATGGTATACAAGATGAAGACACCCACAACTTTGACGAGTCTGGCTTTATGATGGGCGTTATATTAACAGGAGCTGTTGTCACAGGCTCTGAGCGTCGAGGGAGACCAAAGGCAGTGCAGCAGGGTGACTGAGAGTGGACCAGCATTATCCAAGGCATCTGCGCGAAGGGCTGGTCTATCCCACCCTTTATTATCTTCTCTAGCAAGCACCACCTCTCTGCCTGGTACAAGGAGCCTAGTATACCTAACAACTAGGTTCTTAATGTCTCTGACAATGGCTGGACTAACAACAAGCTTGGAGTCAAGTGGTTGAAGCACTTTGATGAGCACACAAAGGCGCGCACTGTTGGCAGCTATTGGCTGCTCATTCTGGACGGCCACGAGAGCCACAACTCAGTCGAATTCCACCAGTACTGCGAGGAACACAAGATTATTACCCTGTGTATGCCTCCACACTCGTCGCACCTACTGCAGCCACTTGACGTGGGCTGTTTTTCTCCGTTGAAGAAGGCCTATGGCCGCCAAGCCGAGCGGCTGATGCGTAGCAAGATCACGCGTATTACCAAACTTGAGTTCTTGCCATGCTTCAAAGCGGCTTTTGACGCCTCAATTACAGAGAGTAACATCTAGGGAGGATTTAGAGGTGCTGGCCTAGTCCTATTTGACCCAGAAGCTGTGATATCAAAGCTTGAAGTACGACTGCACACGCCAACGCCACCTACTGTAGACAACAGTACGTGGGAGTCTAAAACACCAAGCAATACACTGGAATTTAGGTCTTAATTAAAGCTGATTTGAGAGAGGATTCAGAGACACGCTAATAGCTTGCCAACGTCTATAGTTGACGCTCTTAATCAGCTCACCAAAGGCGCAGAGCTGATGGCGCATTCACTGGTTTTAGTGCGCAACCAGGTCGCTGACCTACAGGCAGCCAACAAGGCCGCTACACGTCGTAAATCACACAAAAGGAAGCGATTACAGCGAGAGGGGACTCTAACCTTTGCTGAGGGAGTGCGGCTAACTACTCTAAAGGAGTTTGAGGCCCGTAGTGATGGGAAGAAGGCAAAGAAGAGGTCGCGCGTTGATGGGAGCACTCAGTCTTTAAGGCGCTGTGGCACATGTAGCGAGACAGGGCACAACGCGCGAACATGTAGTAAAGATGCGCAGAGTACTATAGACTAGTTCTATATACTGTATAGTATAATATATTGTTGTTGTGTGCTGTAATGTTGCAAAGTAGGTACAGTGTTGGTGTAGTCTTGGCAAAACCCGGTCACTCGCTTGTGCCGGTCACTCGCTTGTGGAGTACGTTACTGAAGGAGATATATTTATTACTATCTCTGATATTGAGTCTAAGCAGATACAGAGCGAAAGACGCGCTGCAGCAGTCTATAACATCCCACAAACAACAATCTAAGACTAACACGCTAGACAACGCCCTTAACGTGACTGCAAGCTGAAATTAAAGTGCCTTACAAAGCTAGAAGAGGAGGCAATTATACAGCGTATACTTGAAGAGAGTCTACGTGGAATACCGCCCTTAAAGGCGCATGTACAAGATATGGCTAATAGACTGCTAAGGGAGCGTGGTGGGAAGCCTACAGGCAAGAACTAGGTTAATAACTTTATTAAGCGTACACTAGAGCTGCGCACGCGATGGAGCTGTCTGTATGATTGCCAGCAAGCTGCCTGCAAAGACCTAGCGCTTATCTAGCCCTAGTTTAGCCTAGTTTAATTAATAAAGACAAAGTATAGTATTACAGATAAGGACACCTAGAACTTTAATAAGTCTAGCTTTATAATAGGCAAGATATCCTCTTAGCTTATTATTATAGGCTTAGAGAAACCTAGGAAATAGAAGAAACTACAGCCTAGCAATTGCAAGTAGGTTACCCTAGTATAAGGTGTTGCTGCAACAGGGCATATTATCCTACCCTTCCTTATCTTTATAGGCAAGGTCCTAATCTCCTCCTAGTTTACTAGTCTACCTTACAACTAGGTTGTTACAGTCTCTCCTACTAGCTAGACTAATAATAATATTGTAATAGCATAGCTTAAGCACTTTAACGCCTATACAAAGGTGACCTCTGCTAGGGCATATAGGCTACTTATTATTAACAGCTATAAGAGCTACTACTTAATAGAATTCTAGGACTACTGCAAGGAGAACAAGATTATTACTCTCTACATACCACCACACTTATCGCACCTCCTGCAGCCTCTTAATGTTGTCCCATACTTGCTGTTAAAGCGCCACTACAGCAACAGGATCTCGCTCTTGGCACGCAGCTACATCTACTATATTAATAAAGAAACCTTCCTACTAGCCTTTAAAGTAGCTTTTAAGAGGATGTTTATACTAGAGAATGTTTGCGCAGGGTTTTAAGGCGCTAGGCTAGCCCTGCATAACCCTAAGGTTGTGTTATTAAAGCTTGATGTACAGCTACGTACGCTAACGCCACCTGCACTAGGCACTGTTGCCTAGGAGGCGTAAACACCACACAACGCCTGCAAGATAGAGGCGCAGTTAACGCTAATCTAAAATTACATGCAAAATTATTATAGGTTACTAGCAAGTTTATTAGATAAGCAGGTTAAGTAGTTAAGTAAAGGCGCTTAATAGATAGCTTATAATATAGTGTTAGTGCAGGAGGAAATAGGCTGCCTATAAGACGCTGTTACTACGCTTATAAAGCGCAAGACCTGTAAAAGGTAGTATATATATATAGAGGAGACTCTAATAGTTAGTAAGGTATCTAACCTAGTTACTAAAAAGGAGGGTAGTAGTTGTAAGGAGGGCAAGATGCCTGCAAAGAGGGTGCGCGTAGAGAGGCGCTGTAGCTGTTGCAGCGAAATTAGGCACAACTCCTGCACCTGTAAGGTAGAAATTAAGGATGTAGATAATAGCAACGCTTCTAAATAATATTATAATGTTATGTGTAGTATTGTAATTTATTGTAGTGCTGCGCTGCACTGCTGCGTAGGCGCGGCGCGGGTGTTTGGTGGACGACTCACTTGGGTGGGCGACTCGCTTGTGAACCACGTTATTACTAACAAGATCTGACAATCTTTTGATAGAGGTGTTAAGTTTAGCATGCGAATATTGCAATTACAGGATTTAGAGGCTGAGGTAGTGGAGAGATGGCGCTCTGCTGGGTAGGAGAGGGACGATCGACGTGAGGGTTTACGCGCTATATAATCGTTAACAAAAAGGAAACTGTCACATACGACCATAGGACGTTGAAAACAAGGCTTCCCGTTCGCTCAGCCCTATTTAAGCAACGTACCGGCGGATTAGTAGTTAGGTGGGTGACCACTAGCGAATACCCGCTGTTGTATGTTTTTTGCTCTTTTGTGAGCTTTCTATACTGCAAGCTTTTTGCGGCGATTGCGAATATTGCAATCACAGGATTTAGAGGCTAAGGTAGTGGAGAGATGGCGCTCTATTGGGTAGGAGAAGGACGATTAACGTGAGGGTTTACGCGCCATATAATTGTCAACAAAAAGGAAACTGTTGCATACAACCATAGGACGTTGAAAACAAGTTCTCCTGCCCGAGCCGCCATCTGTTGGATGACGGTACCTAGGGTTATGTGTCCCGCTTCCGGTATACAGGAACCAGTCCGCCTAACGAATGCCACTAACATCGCTAGCCCATTTGTTCTAATTTGTCACTGACAGCATAATGCCGTATCGAGATATCACTCCTGTTTCTTGTATCTCCGAGTAAGCCCTTGCCCTTCTCGCTCTCTTTACAACACATGAGAAGTCGCAAGGTGGGGAAAAGCGCTCACAAAGCTAACTCTAACGACCTCAAAGAGCGTTCGCAGGAATAGGGAACGCAGCCACTGACCACTGCAGATGTGGAGAAAGCCTCAAACAACGGCTTTTGATTTACATCAGTACACGATAAGGTCCTCAAAGGAGTATTTTCATAACGTGTCTTATTCTCCCTCTTTGTGCTGCTACGGACGTTCTTGAACAATCATTGACTGGAGAAAGCTTTTTTCTAGGCTGCTACAACTTTGCATCTACAACTGTAC